GATAAATCCATAAATCAATAAATCAATAGGATCCATAAATCAATAAATCTTATAAATCAAATGAATTCACAAATCCATAAGTCAATAGATCCATAAATCCATAAATCGATGAAAAGATAAATCCATAAATCAATCAATCAATAAAATCTCATTAATCGATAAACATAAATCAATAAATCGATAAATCCATAAATCAATAGATCCATAAATCAATAAATCCATAGATCAATAAATCCATAAATCGACGAACCGATAAATCAATAAATCTGTAAATCGAATAGATCCGCAAATCGACAAATCGATAAATCAAAACATCCGTCCATCAATAGATGAATAGATAATGTTCTATAAATCAATGAATTAATAAATCCGATAAATCAATAAATCCGTAAATCAATAGATCCATAAATAAATCCATAAATCGATGAAAAGATAAATGCATAAATCAATGAATTAATAAATCCATAAGTCAATAGAGCTATAAATCGATAAATCCATAAATCAATAAATCGATAGATCCATAAATCAATAAATCCATAAATCAATAAATCCATAAATCAATAAATCGATGAATCAATAAATCAATGAATCGGTGAATCGATGAATCGATAAATCCATAAATCAATAAATCAATAGATCCATAAATCAATAAATCCATAAATCAATGAATTAATAAATCCATAAGTCAATAGATCCATAAATCAATAAATCCATAAATCGATGAAAAGATAAATCCATAAATCAATAAATCAATAAATCGATTAATCAATAAATCCATAAATCGATAAATCCATAAATCAATAGATCCATAAATCAATAAATCCATAGATCAATAAATCCATGAATAGATAAATCAATAAATCCGTAAATCAATAGATCCATAAATCAATAAATCAATAAATCGATAAATCCATAAATCAATAGATCCATAAATCAATAAATCGATGAATCAATAAATCAATGAATCGATAAATCCATAAATCAATAAATCCATAAATCCATATATCAATAAAATCATAAATCCATAAATCGATAAATCCATAAATCAATAAATCGATTAATCGATAAATAAATAAATCCATATATCGATGAATCGATAAATCCATAAATCAATAAATCGTTTAATCGATAAATCCATAAATCAATAGATCCATAAATCCATAAATCGATGAATCGATAAATCAATAAATCCATAAATCGATGAATAGATAAATCAATAAATCCGTAAATCAATAAATCAATAGATCAATAAATCGATTAATCGATAAATCCATAAATCGATAAATCCATAAATCCATATATCGATGAATCGATAAATGCATAAATCAATAAATCATTTAATCGATAAATCCATAAATCAATAGATCCATAAATCAATAAATCCATAAATCGATGAATCGATAAATCAATAAATCGATGAATCGATAAGTCAATAAGTCCGTAAGTCAATGAATCGATGAATGAATAAATCCATAAATCAATAGATCCATAAATCGATAATCCATAATTCAATAAATCGATTAATCGATAAATCCATAAATTAATAAATCAATATATCCATAAATCAATAAATCGATGAATCGATAAATCCGTAAGTCAATGAATCGATGAATAAATAAATCCATAAATCAATAAATCAATAGATCCATAAATCAATAAATCCATAGATCAATAAATCCATAAATCGATGAATCGATAAATCAATAAATCCATAAATCAATAGATCCATAAATCAATAAATCGATAAATCAATAAATCCGTAAATCAATAGACCCATAAATAAATAAATCCATAAATCGATGAAAAGATAAATCCATAAATCAATGAATTAATAAATCCATAAGTCAATAGATCCATAAATCAATAAATCCATAAATCGATGAAAAGATAAATCCATAAATCAATAAATCGATTAATCGATAAATCCATAAATCAATAAATCGATAAATCCATAAATCAATAGATCCATAAATCAATAAAACCATAGATAAATAAATCCATATATCGATGAATCGATAAATCAATAAATCTGTAAATCAATAGATCCATAAATCAATAAATCGATAAATCAATAGATCCATAAATCAATAAATCAATAAATCGGTAAATCGATAAATCAATAAATCGATAAAACGATGAATTGATGAATCGATAAATCAATAAATCCATAAATCAATAAATCGATGAATCGGTAAATCCATAAATCAATAAATCGATATATCCATAAATCAATAAATCCATAAATCGATGAATCGATAAATCAATATATCAATAAAATAATCAATAGATCCATAAAACAATAAATCGATGAATCAATAAATCAATGGATCGATGAATCGATAAATCCATAAATCAATAAATCGATTAATTGATAAATCCATAAATCAATAGATCCATAAATCAATAAATCCATAAATCGATGAATCGATAAATCAATAAATCGATGAATCGATAAGTCCGTAAGTCAATGAATCGATGAATGAATAAATCCATAAATCAATAGATCCATAAATCGATAATCCATAAATCAATAAATCGATTAATCGATAAATCCATAAATTAATAAATCAATATATCCATAAATCAATATATCCATAAATCAATAAATCGATGAATCGATAAATCCGTAAGTCAATGAATCGATGAATAAATAAATCCATAAATCAATAAATCAATAGATCCATAAATCAATAAATCCATAGATCAATAAATCCATAAATCGATGAATCGATGAATCAATAAATCCGTAAATCAATAGATCCATAAATCAATAAATCGATGAATCAATAAATCAATGAATCGATAAATCCATAAATCAATAAATCGATAAATCCATAAATCAATAAATCAATAAATCAATAGATCAATAAATCCATAAATCAATGAATTAATAAATCCATAAGTCAATAGATCAATAAATCAATAAATCCATAAACCGATAAAAAGATAAATCCATAAATCAATAAATCGATTAATCGATAAATCCATAAATCAATAAATCGATAAATCAATAGACCCATAAATCAATAAATCCATAGATCAATAAATCCATAAATCGATGAATCGATAAATCCGTAAATCAATAGATCCATAAATCAATAAATCGGTGAATCAATAAATCGATGAATCGATGAATCGATAAATCCATAAATCCATAAATCAATAAATCAATAAATCGATAAATCAATAAATCAATAGATCCATAAATCAATAAATCCATAAATCAATGAATTAATAAATCCATAAATCAATAAATCCATAAATCGATGAAAAGATACATCCATAAATCAATAAATCCATAAATCAATAAATCCATAGATCAATAAATCGATGAATCGATAAATCGATAAATCAATAAATCCGTAAATCAATAGATCCATAAATCAATAAATCGATGAATCAATAAATCAATGAATCGATGAATCGTTAAATCCATAAATCAATAAATCGATAAATCCATAAATCAACAAATCAATAGATCCATAAATCAATAAATCCATAAATCAATGAATCGATGAATTAATAAATCCATAAATCAATAGATCCATAAATCAATAAATCCATAAATCGATGAATAGATAAATCCATAAATCAATAAATCGATTAATCGATAAATCCATAAATCGATAAATCCATAAATCAATAGATACATAAATCAATAAACCGATAAATCAATAAATCGATGAATCGATAAATCCATAAATCAATGAATCGATGAATGAATAAATCCATAAATCAATAGATCCATAAATCCATAAATCGATAAATCCATAAATCAATAAATCCATAAATCGATGAAGCAATAAATCCATAAATCAATGAATCGATGAATGAATAGACCCATAAATCAATAGATCCATAAATCAATAAATCCATAAATCAATGAATCGATAAATCCATAAATCAATAGATCCATAAATCAATAAATCGATAAATCAATGAATCGATGAATGAATAAATCCATAAATCAATAAATCCATAAATCGATAATTCCACAAATCCATAAATCGATGATTCGATAAATCAATAAATCGATTAATCGATCAATCCATAAATCGATTAATCCATAAATCAATAAATCGATCAATCCATAAATCAATAAATCCATAAATCAATAAATCGTTAAATCAACGAATCGATGACTAAATAAATCCATAAATAATACGGTAGATTTCTAGAACTTGCAACAGCCAGCTGTTTGGTATGGAGTCAAACGCTTTCTGATAATCAATATAGCTCATGACCACCGAGTCTATTACAAGCTGTTCCTTAGAGACCATTGCCCTGCTTTTGCAACCTTTTTGCTCTTCATTTAGTATGTTATTGGTGACAAGGTAGGTATACATTTTACTGCTAATGCAGCTTTAAAATATCTTAATAATAAATCGATGGTAGGCAGGTGATGGATCGATATTGGGAAGAGTTATCTAGGGTTTCAGTTTTTGGTAGAAGGTGAGTATAATTCCCTACTTTAGAAAGACGTGCATTTTCTGGGGTCCAATCAGAGTTTCAGTAAATTCTCTCGCTAGGAAGTGGTAAGCAGAGGAAAATTTCTTGAGCCAGAAGTTGTAAATTCCGTTACGCCCTGGACTTCTCCAGTTAGGTAATTTTTTGATTGCACTTTCAACGTCGCACAGTTTTGTCTTCCATATTTACGTTCTCATATTTTTCGCGCTCCTGGTTTATCCATACGTTTGCGCATTTGTTTGATGCTCTCCTCAACGACCCCGCTGGGTTTCCCCGCTAAGTTGATATAATCTAGTTGTTATGTTTTCTGATATCATATTTAAAAGGGTTTCACTATTGAGAGCGAAGTTCACTATTGAAAGTGAACTCTCACTAGTGAGAGTTGTTGCATGCGTCCTATGTCTCTGAATGAAGAATAAAAAAATCTACATGAAAAGAAACATGGAAGGAAATTCATTGACTATTCGAACTGTGCGCGGCCGAAGTTTTTAATATATGAATATGAAATAGTATAGTCTTTATAGTCTATTTATTTACTATCACAACACAATCAAACACATTTTTATTAATCTGAATTTTTACAATCGTTAAAAACTGCATCGTTTGAATTCTTACATGTAGATTCGATCAAAGTCGAAGATATAGAAGGTCTAACATCAATGTACATAACACCAACTCCCTCCGGAGAATTTGATTTTTAGTCCAAACATGCCAATCTGGCTTTGGTAATGCAATTCTGTAATTCTTGCTGAACTAGAATGGCTTGCCGTTCGGGTAAGTGGTGTAATTCCGCAGCCACATACTTTCCAAAAAAATCAAATGGATTTTCACCTGGCCGTTCCTCTTGCGTGACTGATGATGACCGTACTGATGACGGTCTTTTGTGATTTCTGACGGGCGGGCAAGACGGTTCAATAGTATCAGGTGAAATGTCGTCTTCTTCTTTGATATCACATGGCGGGACTTCGAAGTGGATCTCATCCTCATCGATTTCACCATCTTCTGTTTCACTATTTTCCTTGGGAAAGGGAACTGACTGCGTCTGGAAATATGAACAGAAAAGATAATTTAACAATTAAATAAAATTAAAATATTACGTTAATAAACCGCCAAAACAATTTACACATAAAATAAGTTACTATAAGGTGTAGTTTATTTCTAAAAGCTTGAGAGCACAAGACCTTCATTACAAATGCAAAAGGCGTTTTGTTTGTTGTGTTGTAAAAAAGATAGATAACTTAAAAGTCACACCAAACAACATGAACCACCTATTATTTTCTATGGTTAGCTCTTGTCATAATTTTGCAGTAAACATGTCCGTCCGTGATATTTTATAAACTGCTACTTTTTAACTACGACTGCGATTTCACCATAGCTGGATCTTTCAGATATAGCAACTAGGTTACGATGCCGATCGCAGACGTAAGACCACCGCATAGAGACAATACTACGCCCTTCTGTTCATTTTATTATAAAAAAAATATTAAATGATTTATTTACAATATATGTACGTACCGTGCTGGCAAGTGTTACTTTTGGGTCGGTACTTACATGTATGGAAGTACATCGCATAGGGATCTTATTAAGTCGGAGTGAGAGAAATGACGACGGTGTGCTGTTGCGGCGTTGCCGGTACGCCTTTCCCTATCAGGTAAAGTCACGATCGCAAACCTCTTATTTTTAAACGACTTTTTTTCGAAAAAATAACTAGATAAAATCGTTAGATATGTTTCTGAACATCTGAAATGGAATTATAAGGATATCGTTAGGGTGTTCATTTTTTTATACCGATAAAACGTCAGTAATCGCGAAAATTTAAATACTCAACTTTTTAACACATAATACGCCATACTTAAAAACCACTTAGATATTGAAACTTTTTTTTATTGTGAAGATCGGATCTTTTACAATATGTTTAAATAAGAAAAATTAGATAAGGTTGTTTTTTTCCATTCAAAAATTTTAAACAGCCCATCCATTTACTTTTTGTGCATAGCAATTTTCAGCAATCGTGTAACTTTTTTATTTATAAAGATTTTCACATACTGTCTGCGAAGAAAATATAGCAGAAATGTTAAGAAAGTTTTTGAATAAACTCTATTCATATTGAATTCAGAGTTCTAATAGCGCGACCACTGTCAAAATCAAACCCTTTCGTGCGAAAATAATGATTTTTTTTAACATTGTAGTAACAAACTTAACAAGAACACAAACATATCACGATGAACTTGTATAATATAAAATAAAATAACAGTTGATAACAGTACACCTACAAAAGGTCTAAATAGGTACTTACCGGAGTATTCGATATTGCAGACCATCCTTTATCAACAATTAATGAAACTTCGGGATGTTTTACCTCCATATGTCTTTTTAAATTTGTTGTAGTTGTCTTGTATGACAACTTAGATCCACATAAATTACATTTTGCGTAACTCTCATCTAAGGGAGTAAAAAAATTCCATAAAAAACTTATTTTCGATCTTTTTTTATTAATTGGTTGCATATTAAAATAATATGTTTCTATTTAATATTCAATTTGTCTTTGTTTTGTATAAGTACAACAACGAATAGTCAGTAAAGTTCTATACCGTGAAAAATTAACCGATAAATATATCAAAATGCGATTAACAATTCTCCACTGCGATGAGTCTATGAATATGTGCATGTGCAGACGACACGAAAACGTATAGAACGACGCCACGATTTGCGATTTCAATTGTACAACGTTGTAAGGAGTGGGGAAGAACGCCGAGGCACAAGGGTGCTATTCTTGACATCGTTCGCAACTTTGTTTATACGTTTACAGTATGGTTACACGGCTTTCTCGGAGACGCGAGTGATATTTGAAGATGCGAGTGGTCAATAATAGGTGCCCAGATTGTGGCCAAGGTTGTTCGCTATTCGCTTTCTGTTTCACAACAAAAGCAACTCCCCCGTGAACTGCTACTTTCGTAGATTGGCATCGGAATCGATCGCAGTAAAAAGAGATGGCTTTATCGTAAATAGAGCTGAGCAAAACTGCGATTCTTCAATCGAAATTGAAACTGCGATTGGGATTTTTGAATCGCAGCGAATGTAACCTCCGATTGCGATTTTAATATTTAAATATTGTAATCTATACTAATATCACAGATAACATTATGTGTTATCTGTGCTAATATATAAAATCCTTAAGTGACTGACTCACTGATTAATCACGATCCTGCTCAAACCACTCAATGTAAGAAGCTCAATTTTGGCATACAGGTTGATTCTAGAGTGTAGAGGTTCGATAAGAAGGGATTTTTCGAAATTCCAGTTCCAAGGGGATGAAAACACCCCTCAAATATTACAATATTTTTTATTTTTTTTTCCGAAAAAACGCTTAAACACGTATATTTTATTTTGTTTTTTTACATATTTTAAGATTTTTAAAAATGTATACAGGGTGTTTTGATAAATCTGGTCATTGATTAATCACGATCATGCTTAAAGCGCTTGACGTAAAAAGCTGATTTTTGGAAAACGGATTGACTTTAGGGTGTAGAGGTTCGATAAGAAGGAATTTTTTGAAACTCGAATTCTAAGGGGGCGAAACCACCCCTCAAATATTAGAATATTTTTTATTTAAAAACCGTTGAGATTTTCGGAAAAACTCTTAAAAACGTATATTTTATTTTGTTGTTTTACATATATTAAGAATTTTTATAAATTTATACATGGTGTTTCATAAAATATGACCACTGAGTAATCACGATTCTGCTTAAACTGCTTGACGTTTAAAGCTGATTTTTGGCAAACGGATTGACTGTGGGGTGTAGAGGTTCGATTATCAGCAGCCAGACGGCCCGCACTTTGGTCAGGAGAGCATAGCAAAAGATGTATTAAAGGACCAGGTTTCTTAAAATTCTCGATAAAACGTGAAGATCTCTTTGCCACTTGAATCAATTCCTCAAATTGTAACTTCAATTCTCAATACTTTTAAAACCCAACACATTACTAAATGTTTAGGCTTCGATTTGATCAAAAAAAATATATTTTAAAAGTGTATTTTAACGGTAGACCTTACGGTAGTCTACTTCGTGACGACAATCTATATAAAGTAAGGAAATAAAATAAAAATATTTAATGAAATTGAACTTTTACCTGTTTTAATAAAGGATAAATAACATCTAAAGGAGTAGTTTTATTTCTATTTAAATATTATCAAGTTTATAACAAGTTTATTGTATGTAAGGTTAAACAAAGAATATGGAAAGATTTCGATACAGGACATCGAAAGATTGACAGAAAATACAATTTACCTGTGAATTGGTCAATCTCTCTATTGATTGGCAAAACGAAAATGGCCGTCTGGACTTTCTCCATCTAAACAAGACAATTTCACTCGAGTAAGAGATGCTTGCATTTCTTGCTGTAACAAGATTGCCTGACGTTCGGGCAACAGCCGTAGCTCTGAAACTATGTATCTGCCGAATTGCTCATAAGCCCGTTCTCCGTACGGATTGCTAGCGAATTTAACGATCTGAGTCGTTCTATCTGAGTGATCAGGCTCTTCATGGAGAGTGCAAGGAGACTGTAGTCTCTTAGATCGTTTTGTAGGTCTTGTGGTGCTCCTCGGTGGACTGGGAGGTTCCGCTTTGATTTCTATCGACGCGTTTTCTTCATCGTAATCGTCACAAAGTAGCTCATCCTCTTCGATACGCCATCTACTAGGATTCACTGGACCTGAGTCCTGAAACGAAGATTACGTTTTATAGCTACAGACCATCAAATACCTAAAAAGACTAAGACACATTTAGGAGGGGAGTGCATACGGACATATTTAATCAAATTGTCATATACCGGGTGCGTCTCAAAAGTGGTTCACCCCTATAACATTATTATTTTTTCAGATAAAAAAACGAGATTTGGTATGTTAGTATATGACATAAATTAGGATTGATTGACATATTCAATTGTTTTCGGTCACTTCCTGTTTCACCGGAAATGACTACAACTTTTGATTTTTAAATGGCACCCTCGGTACTTTTTTACTTTAGTCGATAGAAAATGAATGAATAGAATGACATATAATATGTCAACTTTTCACATTTTCGCATATGGTTTATATGGAAAATTTGACTCGAAATACCAAGTGTGTCAGGCCAGGACAAGGCACTAAAAACATTAGGCAATCAAATCTATTTTTCCAAGGCTCCTTGATTAAGAATTAGTGTTTTTAACATAGCCACTCTAGATTGAATTTTAAAATTTAATTTTGTTTTAAGCGAGAATGTCAAAATTTGACATATGATAAGTCATTCTATTCAGAATGTCATTTTCTATCGAATAAAGTAAAAAAATACGGAGGGTGTCATTTAAAAATCAAAAGTCATAGTAATTTCCGGTGAAACAGGAAGTGACCAAAAACAATTGAATACGTCAATCAATCCTAATTTATGTCTTATACTAACATACCAAATCTCGTATTTTTTATCTGAAAAAATAAAAAAAGTTATAGGGGTAAGCCACTTTTAAGACGCACCCGGTATATGCGAAAATGTCAAAAGTTGACATATGATATGTCATTCTATTCAAAGTGTCATTTTCTATCGAATAAATCAATACTACAAGTTGTAGTCATTTCCGGTGAAACAGGAAGTGACGGAAAACAATTGAATATGTCAATCAATCCTAATTTATGCCATATACCAACATACCAAATCTCGGGTGAGTCACTTTTGAGACGCACCCGGTATTATAAAATTCTCAGTGATCTATTGACAGCGATCTGATTTGTCTAATTAGACAAATAAAATGAAGTTTATTGTTCTTATATTCAAATTCAGACAAAACTTAACCAAACACGAAGTCAAATATCAAAACAAAAAAAAATAACATAAGAAGCACTATACCGGGTGCGTCTCAAAAGTGGCTCACCCCTATAACTTTTTTATTTTTTTAGTTAAAAAAACAAGATTTAGTATATTCGTATATGACATAAATTAGGATTCATTGACGTATTCAATTGTTTTCAGTCACTTCCTGCTTCACCGGAAATGACTACAACTTTTGATTTTTAAATGGCACCCTCGGTATTTTTTTACTTTATTCGATAGAAACTAACATTCTGAATAAAATGACATATCATATGTCAACTTTTGACATTTTTACATATGATTTATTTGAAATTATAACTTGCGGTTCGTAACGAAAATTTGACTCGAAATACCAAGTGTGTGGTATCAAATTATTCGTAAAAAAATGCTTTTTCCAGATATGCTGATGAGCCACCCTCGTTCCATTTGAAAAAAATATGATTTAAAATACGATTTGAGCATTTTCTAACTGGCCAGGACCAAGACACTAAAAACATTAGACGATCAAATCTATTTTTCTAAGGCTCCCTGATTAAGAATTAGTGTTTTTAACATAACCATGGCACTCTTGTTTTAAGCGAAAATGTCAAAAATTGACATATTATATGCCATTCTATTCAGAATGTCATTTTCTATCGAATAAAGTTAAAAAATACCGAAGGTGCCATTTAAAAATCAAAAGTTGTAGTCATTTCCGGCGAAACAGGAAGTGACAGAAAACAATTGAATACGTCAATCAACCCTAATTTATGTCATATACTAACATACCAAATCTCGTTTTTTTATCTGAAAAAATAAAAAAGTTATAGGGGTGAGCCACTTTTGAGACGCACCCGGTATACCTACCTCTGAATAATTAACATCTTTATTATACGGGACGTAAACATCGCTCAGAAAATCACTCATCGCCTCGTGAGCGAACCAATCAGTTTTAAATAGTTCCTCCTTAACCATAGCCGCTTTCATTGCTTTCAGCGCGATCTTCCTATACGTCGCCATCAGAGCGTCTTTTTTTTTCTTCAGCTCTTTGATCGTGAATCTATGGTCCATTTTTTCTTCCAGACGCTTCCACGCGTCGTGGACTACATGTCTATTTTTGTGTTCAGGGTGTTTCGGATTCCATATAACAGGTTCCATTTTGAAGTATTTTAAAAATTCCAGTACGGTCTCGTTGGACCATTCCATATTTTATACCTTGTAAATTATGAATAGATCGCAAAAACTAAAAATTTATCCCAATGTAATTTTAATAACTATCTTTTAGATAATTTTAGATTGATAGATTCAGTTTCTTTTTGTCGCGAAACAAAATAACGACGTTAAATACGGCTTGCCAAGATTTTGCGAGCTGAGATCGATGGCTCGCGTTGGATACGCGCCGCATTTTCCGATTTGGAATAAGCGCAGTTGCCACTAATTGTATTTATTCGTACCTTTTTGTAAATAAATTTATAATAACTGAGCGGGGTAATTAAAATATGCCTACTACAGGGTGTCCCAGGCTGAGCGTGCATTAGAAGTTTCTAGAAAACTACAATATCTAGATCGGAGATTTTTTGCACATCATTGTTTTTACAATGAGATCTATCGATTACAAATATGTTCAATATGGCGGCACTTCCGGAAATACCAGAAATTGACAACAACTTTATTATTTCAAATGGATGCCCCCATTTAAATTCTCTGTAAAATTATATGAATATTGATGTCAAATACTCTGTACCTCGCAAAAAAAATAAAAAAAGGAAAAGTGTTTTGGTGTATTGTGGTGATTTAGTGTTTTTATTTTGCTGTGTAACACCAAAGGTTCCAACCCTCAACTGTAATACTCTGTACCTAACATTAACCGTTTTTGAAAAAAAAATATTTAAGATTTTTGGACGAGAAAAACTACGTGACAAAAAAAATTGAACAGCCTAAAAGACAAATTTAGTGATTACCACAGTCACTGTGACATAAAGAGAAGACAAGGCTATCTATTTCAAAAATTAAATTGTTCAAATGTCATATAATAATGTCGGTAGCTGTCATAGAATTGAGCGATTAAAAAATTATCATAAATCATTTTTTTCAAGTGGAAACCCAGTTTTTTTATTTCATTAATCATCCTTAATAACATTAATTAAATCCGTTATTAATCAACACCTAAGATCGATTTTACAAAATGGCAGAATTTTTTTTCTTAGGTGTACAGTCTGGCAACATCTAGGCTTGGCCCTGTTCATAGATTTGCACGAATGCGATTAACTGGCGCGTGGTCCAAATTAGATCTGAATAATCGATACAGGACAGTATCCAGGAAAAACTATACAGGGTGTCCTACCGAGAACTATTTCGATTCATAAAGCAAATTAGCCTGAAGTCTGAAAATGTTGAGTCTGAAAGTTTGTCCGACGAGAGGATACTTGACATCAGTGTCTGTTTTTGTCTTTATACCGTATGATCGAAAACATATATATAAACTTGTCAAAAATTAACACTAATTATAGAAATATTAAAAAAGTAACGTTAAAAAAAACACAACGGAGAAATTTTTGGTCAAATTTAACGTGTTATATTTTTTCAGAACCATGACTCCTGAGCATTTTGTTTTTTGATTCATGTCAATACATGCTTTGATGGTTTTGGTGACTACTGTCGTCGTCATATTACGCTGCATTGTTCTATACTAAATTAAAAAAAAAACGTTAAAAACTAACGATACAGTCCTGGTTTTAATAAATATTAATAACGATAACAGAACTAACGATATTAGAGAAAACATCTGTAATATTCAAGTATACAAACAGAAAAAGAAATTGTAAAAAATACCCTATACTTTATATATTGCCTCCCTTGGCTGCTATAACCTCCTGTATACCTCCGTATACAGGGTTGTTCACCACATACGACACGGAGTATTGTAGCTAAACGATCAGATTTTTACAAATTGTAAGTTTGGGGCTCGTTGAAGGACTATTAGAGCTACAATTTAAAAATATTTTTAAGATACACAGTGTCCCAAATAAATAAAAAATATCAAAGTTGTATTTTTTTAAATGGAACACCCTGTATATTATTACATTTTTAGTTTCTACGATTAAAATAAAGGTAAATTTGATTAAGGTTTATTATACTTAAACCTTACCGTTTTTGAAATATTTTCAATTTTGTGAAATTGCAGTAAAAATTTTAAAGCTTCATTTCTCCAAGGGTATCAATGTTTTTAATACTAAATATTTAATGAAGTTTATTTATTGATCAGTTATTGTGTTGCAATAATAAAAATAATACTACCTTATACAGAGTGTCTAAAAATTTATTTTAAATAATTATTAGCTTCAAACGGCAATAACTTGTTTAATTTAAATGGAACACCCTGTATATTTTACGAGAATCAGATGCAATCCGCCCATATACTAATTAATGACATACTTAATTGTATTCGTTAATAAATTATTATAAATAAATGTGGATTTTTGAGTCAGAAATCAATATAATAATTTTAATAAAGCATTTATTAAAAAATGAAATATCATTTTTAAGGTGTTACTTTTTATCACACTGTTTAATGCCCGTACAAAATTCAGTTTTTTAGTATTTGGAGCAATTATTATTAATCAACGCAAACAGTCTGGAATCATATTAAATGGTCCTCTTTAACAAATATTTAAACAGTTTTTTTTTTATTTTTTAATGAAATAAACGAATTATATTGACAATATTAGTATCTGTACTCTTTAAAAATTTGGTACATCTTTAAAAATAATCTAAAATGTCAATAGTCCATGGGTATATTGATAAATAAGTTCTAAATTACAAGAAAATGCATTTTCTACGGAAACTTAAAGAGATAGGTAAAAAATGGTATTAATATAATTTGATAGACAATTAAATTGTGCATCTGATTCTCGTAAAATATACAGGGTGTTCCATTTAAATTAAACAAGTTATTGCCGTTTGAAGCTAATAATTATTTAAAATAAATTTTTAGACACTCTGTATAAGGTAGTATTATTTTTATTATTGCAACACAATAACTGATCAGTAAATATTTAGTATTAAAAACTTTGATACCCTTGGAGAAATGAAGCCTTAAAAAACCTTTACCGCAATTTCACAAAATTGAAAATATTTCAAAAACGGTAAGGTTTAAGTATAATAAATCTTAATCAAATTTACCTTTATTTTAATCGTAGAAACTAAAAATGTAATAATATACAGGGTGTTCCATTTAAAAAAATACAACTTTGATATTTTTTACTTATTTGGGACATTCTGTATCTTGTAAAATTATTTTTAAATTGTACCTCTAATAGTCCTTCATCGAACCCAAAACTTACAATTTGTAAAAATCTCATCGTTTAGCTACAATACTCCGTGTCGTATGTGGTGAACAACCCTGTATATCATATTGCGTTATGTTTTCCTATTCTTCTTTAAGGACCAAGCGAAGTTCATTTAATGAAGCTGGTATAGTTGCGCGACCTCTAACCTTCCTGCCCAGCATTTCCCAATTTTTCAAAAGTAGTCAAAAATGAAATTGAACACTTCAATAAAAATGTATGTTGGCATTGTCTTTAAAGATGTTTTTTTTTATTTATTGGATTACTGTCATTTTATTTGTAAAAGTATATGACAAATTAATGTTATCTATTGTCATTTCCAAACCAACTTAATCAGGTTTTTTTCGGTTATACAGTATTATAGGACTGAACAAAAACAATATGTTACAAAACTATAAAAATATATTTAAAGATGGCAACAAACATTTATAATAGACTATGCGTATATATTTATTGTAAAAATATATAAAAGACGAACGTAAAGAAAATAACAAAAACATAAAGACAAAAAAAACGAAAAGTTACATGGTCTCACCACAGGTTTCTGTAAAACTAAATGGCACAGATTGGGTCAAGGCCTGTGGATAATTTAGATCAAAAATTTTTTCATCAGAACACATCAAAAAAGGCCGAAAACTAATTATTTGGTATTCTGCCACGCATTTGATGAACCACTCGATGTCGACTGTGGCTGTTTTGAAGTTATCTAACCAATCTGAAATATGATAAAAATAATTAAAATTGATCAATAAATAATAGGAGGAATACAAGAAAAAATATACAGTTAGATAACTCTAAGGGAATTTCATAATTGATAAAACCTATTGGCATAAACTATAATTTTAAGTTTGTAAACCCTATATCAGGCGTCTAAATACAAAACCCGACAAGTCCATTGAAATAAAATTTACAGAATACACAAAAAATGATTTAAAATATTATCAATATTGAAAAGAATAATAAATATGCTAAAATAAAGTGGTGGGGGAAGTTTAGATCTATCTTTATTTAAATGTTAATAACTCTGGACTGGATGATCGGAATCGAACAAGCGAGGGCTGGTTTAAAAGAGCGTTTATTACTCTATATTGTATCATAAAAATAATAATAATAAGGCTTTGAACGTAGACGCTAGGGGGCGTTGTCTTATAATTTAACAAAAACATTGGGCGTTTTTTCAAAAAAATTAAATGCAATAGTATATGTAATTTTAGCTGATAGTAAAGAGTAGTAAAAGCTTAAAAAGTCAGCGAAAACCGCATCTTGATATCTTCTTTCAAACCGAAGATATTAGCAAAATTATAATAAATACCAAAAAATAAGTCCTTAATTACCTTATTTTTACATCACGGTATCAGTAGCCCTCTTGATTATGCCTATTCTAACAAAAAAGTATGATAGAAACAGTTAGTTTATTTTAAAATCGACGAAATACCAGAGGTATTAATATCTAATAATTAAGATACACACAGACAGTCAACAAGAAACGATTATTCAATGAAGTCATGGTAGGCTTCGGAAAAAAGTTGCTTTTCGCGTAATAGTATAAACGTCAAATTGTTATTAGATCAACATTTTGATAGTTTTAGAAGCGTTTTTTATCTTTTAATTGCTTTTTCAAAATGCCTTTATAATTTGAAGTAGTTGAAGTTGTTGGCATTTTGAAAAAGCAATCAAAAGATAAAAAACGCTGCTAAGACTATCAAAATGTTGACCTAATAACAATTTGACGTTTATACTATTACGTCAAAAGCAACTTTTTTCCAAAGCCTACCATGACTTCACTGAATCATTGTTTCTTGTTCACTGTCTGTGTGTATCTTAATTATTAGATATTAATACCTCTGGAATTTCGTCGATTTTAAAATAAACTAACTGTTTCTATCTTATTTTTTTTGTTAGAATGGGCATAATCAAGAGGGCTACTGATACCGTGTTGTAAAAATAAGATAATTAAGGGCTTATTTTTTGGTATTTATTATAATTTTGCTAATATTTTCGGTTTGAAAGAAGATATCATGATGCGGTTTTCGCTGACTTTTTAAGCTTTTACTACTCTTTACTACTTACTATCAGCTAAAATTACATATACTATTGCATTTAATTTTTTTGGAAAAACGCCCAATGTTTGTTACATTGTAAGACAACGCCTCCTAGCGTCTACGTTCAAAACCTTATTATTATTATTTTTATGGTACAATATAGAGTAATAAACGCTCTTTTAAACCAGCCCTCACTTGTTGGATTCCGATCATCCAATCCAGAGTTATTAATATTTAAATAAAAACAGATCTGTCCTTCCCCCACCACTTTATTCTGATAGATAGGGGAAAATGGCTCTAATAAAAAATATTCAAAATTTACTGAAGATTATGAAGCTATTACTTATAGTACACCTTGTCTAGGCAAAATTGTGTAAAAACTCCATTTTCTTATTTTTTGTTGCAGTTGCGCACCCTAGCGGTCGTTCTACAAACTTGAAAATAATTTCCAGCAATTTTTCAGAGCCTCTTTAGTTATAAATATTTTGTTCCGCAGCCCCTACGGCTAGTACTTTCCGAGATACAGCCGAAAGCTATTCTTAGTGGGACACTCTGTACAAGCTTTTACTGCTGTAAAAGTAATTACCATCAAATTTTTCAACTTCTTCTGTAGCAGATGAATCAGTTATAATTAACTTTATTCTACCATTGTCATTAGTTAGATCCTCTAATTTGTCAACGATTTCACCATCTAACATTCGAACTACGTCCTAAAAATAAAAATATTTAATTTATAACTGATTTTTTTTCGACACAATTCATACCTCAACATCTTTAACCGACAGTGTTGTAAAGGGTGGAGCATTGAAAAACGAGTATTCTTGAAATAGTGGATTTGAGTTTCTTGTCAATCTTGATTTCTGGGGACCTGGAATTCCCGATACGTCTAATGCTTCATATGGATCCTTAAAAATATATGATATTTACAATACAACCAGAATCTCTATTTTTAACAAAACTGTACTACATTGTACCTATTTATTATAGAGGATATCCCGCCTTTCGTTATTTTTTTAATTATAAAGGCCTTTATTATTATCAATAATACAGGGTGGCCCATCGAAAACGTTCCGCAGGTATTTCTATTTTCAAAAAATTCTAAGTAAATTTAATAAAACAGGGAACGTTTCAACAGCTTTTAAGTCAGGAAGACCAAGAAAGTTGTGCAACAGGACAATGAAAGTAATGAAGAGAATATCAATGGGAGATCCATGAAAAACATCCACAGACATTTCTCGAGAAATGGGTGAAAGGGGAATATCGGTGTTTGCACGCACGGTGAGAAGAAGGTTGGATGACATGGGACTTTTTGGAAGAGTTGCGGTGAAGAAACCACTAATATCAAAGAAAAATAGGATGGCCCGCTTTAAATTTGCTCAAGATCATATCTCACCTGGTCTTACCAGAAATGGAATACTGTACTGTTTAGCGACGAAAGTGAGTTTCAACTGTTTGGTAGTGACGGGAGACGTTATGTCCGAAGACCAAAAGGTACACGGTACAGCCATAAGTACCAGATGCCCACAGTAAAACATGGGGGTGGGAGTAAAATGGTATGGGGGTGTTTTTCTCGCTCAGGTGTTGGTCCTCTTGTTAAAATTGATTGGATAATGGACCGTTTTTTGTACAAAGACATATTGGAGAATAATATGCTGCCTCATGCTGATAAAGAAATGCCACTCAGATGGTTGTTCCAGCAAGACAATGATCCCAAGCACAAATCTCGGTTTGTTCAAAATTGGTTAAATGAACATAATGTTCCACTAATGAATTGGCCCTCACAGTCTCCGGATCTTAACCCCATAGAAAATTTATGGGACCATTTGGATAGCAAAATTCGAAGCCATTCTATTTCAAATAAAAATGAATTATGGGAAGTGCTAAAAACTGAATGGGCGGCCATTTCCAGTAAAGATTGTACGAGATTGATCGATTCGATGTCACGAAGATGTAAAGAAGTAATTAATTCAAAGGGATGTTTCACTAAATATTAGTAATTTTTATATTATCTTGAATTTTAATAAACATTCTTCTTAAGTTTCCATACTTTTGACCAAGAAAATATTCATAATTTTTTATATATTTTTTGATATCTGTAATTTTTTATTTAAATGTATTAGGTTTTGTAGGAAATTATTTGTAGGTCACGATTATATAAGTCGTTTTATTTCATATTTTAATTTCTCAGCATAAATGACAAATTAAAAAAGTTTCCATACTTTTGGCCACCACGGTATATTCCTAGAAATAGAAAACGTTCCATGGTTAAAAAGTTACAGTGGGTTTTTAAAAACGCAGGTTTTTGGAAAAACACCCATGCACCCCACATGCAAATTTTAAACTAGTTATTAGTAATTATTGGCTCCCCGCAAAATATTGGCTCCCCTATTGATTTTGCAGCGAAACCTATTTACGACAGGTTTTTTAAAAGGCTGCGTATGCTGAATACATATGCATACGGCAAAAACACGTCAATTTTGTTTGTGAGGGGGATAACTTTTGCCCCAAAAATGATTGCAAAATCTTCAACCCTCTAAGCGGGTCTCTCATCCCCCAACTTTTTTCATATGGGAAGGGGGGTCAAGTGGTACCGCAATGAAAAGGGATTTCTATTCTCTATACTTTCCCGTTTCGTTTTTGAAAGTCGCTCGAGTCATTGAGAAAATATGAAGGATTGAAATTTGAAAAGTTTATTTAAACATTTATCAGAGTAAATGATATGGATAAATTCCTTCGATCAATTTGCTGTTTTTTCTTATTATTTCTAGACGTTTACGCATTTTTTCACTCGCCACAAGGTTGAACGATCAGGTGCGGTAGTTGCTAGATAGCTGTTCTGTGACTTGTGCGTTGAAGTTCGTCTCAATATCGTTAAACTGACCCACAATAGAATTTCCAACCAAACCTCGTGAAAAACCCTGGGGTTATCCTCAGCCCAGTACCGACAGTTGTGCCGATTAACTACATCGTTCAAAAAGAAAGCACACTCATCCGAAAAACACACATTAAATAGGAAATTATTATCACTCGCCACTCGTTCACTCATAGTTTCACAAAATTGCAAGCGACGATCAAAATTGTCTTCGTTGAGTTCTTGTACCAACTGAATTTTGTACGGGTGGAACTTGTGTTTTTTTAATATCCTTTGGACATTTGTACGATTCACGCCGGTCTCATTGGCTAATTTTCTTGTACTTAGTGTACTATCCATGGCACCTTGGCCCAATACGAATACATCCATAGCTTCATTTACTACAGGATTTTCCCTCTGCCTCTTTTTATTCATAACGGAACCAGTTTCGTGAAATTTTGTGCTACTAACTATGGAACAATTTTGTCATAAAGGTGTTTTGTCAGGATGCCATTCATTGAATATCTGCGCAACCCGATACATTCATTATTTTTAAAATAAAATTCGATTATTTCCACTTTTTATGCAAGTGAGTACATCATAATTGTTAAAGGATGATTCACGGTACACCGGACCGTACCCGAGCCGGGCACGTTCCGTAAAGTAGACACCGAGCCACGTCCGGGCCTTCAATATATGCAACACCGAGTGGACAACGGGGATCATGTCCGTGCCGATTATATTCTAGAAAACAGTGTTGCCGCAGTGGTACATTTGTACCAAATTTGATACTTTTAATTCTATTTGGTACAGTGGTACTACATTTTCAAATCCAGGATGATTCGGTACAATAATTATTTCCCACGCGCATCGAAAATGAATAGATATTTAATAATTATCGTCGTTGATATTGCATTAAACGCGCTTACCGATACCATTCGGAGACAATCCGCATTAATTAACGACGTATTATAAACGTTGTAATGTCTATAGGGTTGCCTATATTAAATAACCCGAAGAAAAAACTTAAAAATTTGCTGTTTCTAACATGCTTCTATATTTGCGTTTTTTTTTAATAAAATTTAAGTTTTCCAAGTATCGTGTGTAGTATTAGAATTACTTACATTTCTTCAACCTATACATACTTATAATTGGGTTTTCTGAATTTCTATTTCATGGTTTTCGTCTCGATTTGTGTCTTTCTCCGGGAAGTTTTTTTATGTAGAAATTTATGAAGAAATTCACAACGACCAAACCGGTTAAAGTCATTTGCAGATGTATTTTGTTGTGCTTTAATTTGAAAAAAAATGGGGGATGATACCCCCGCTTAGGGGGTTGAAGATTTTGCAATCATTTTTGGGGCAAAAGTTGTCCCCCTCACAAACAAAATTGACGTGTTTTTGAAATTTCTGAAAAAAAATTACCCTGGTCGTTATGCCTTGCGGAACGTTTTCGATGGGCCACCCTGTATCTTAAAATATTTATTCATTTTCATTTCTCTGGAAACTTACCTCTGGAACGATTTTATTCGCCTTCAAACACTCTATGGCCCAATCGTATCTCACCACCCATATTCCCGCAGCCACGGCCAATAGAAACTTGGCAGTGTGACCCTTCAATCTGCCCATTTCGTCGACGGCTACAATTAAATGCGTCACTTGCGACTGGAACGAACCGCTAACAGAAATCATCTTCCTCATTTCCAGCTGTTTGAAAACATTTTTCAATTCCTTGTTTTGGATGCGAGAGAACATAATGCACGGCTTCGATTTTTTAGTTGGAGATTTCGATTCAGTTTGTTTGAGATAGTTCAGAATGCTTTTTTGGTTTGGGGTGGAAGTGAGTATGCTGGGTTTTTTGTTGGTCAATCTACAACAAATTTTTATTAACATACATTCAGTACTTCAGTTCCAATAAAATATCTTTTGCTTAAAATATCATTTGCTTACAAAAATAGATGTTTATATATTTTATATTATATATTTTGTTTATATAAATGTATAAAAGCAAATAAAATATTTTTATTTTATTTTATTTGCTTTTGCGTTTCATCTTTCAAACAACGCTATTTAATACTATGCCTAGTACATACCAAAAATCGCTATTTCGAAAGTAACGTAGCGACGGGAGCACCAACGCCAATAGTAACAGACCAAATCGCGACAGGCAAAACCGGAAACCTAGAAGCGATCCAGTGACTGCTGGAACGAAGTACGTCGCCACCGAGGTCGAGCGTCGATAGCCAGTTACAGCAGGGACCAGTTACTTCTGTTCGCGACAGGCGGAACTACGGCTCTAGGAGCGCGACGGCTGGAGCGAAGTTACGTCGCCGCCGAGGTCGAGCGTCGATAATAATCAGTTACAGCAGGGACCAGTTACTTCTGTTCGCGACAGGCGGAACTACGGCTCTAGGAGCGCGACGGCTGGAGCGAAGTTACGTCGCCGCCGAGGTCGAGCGTCGATAATAATCAGTTACAGCAGGGACCAGTTACTTCTGTTCGCGACAGGCGGAACTACGGCTCTAGGAGCGCGACGGCTGGAGCGAAGTTACGTCGCCGCCGAGATCGAGCGTCGATAGCCAGTTACAGCAGGGACCAGTTACTTCTGTTCGCGACAGACGGAACTACGGCTCTAGGAGCGCGACGGCTGGAGCGAAGTTAAGTCGCCGCCGAGGTCGAGCGTCGATAATAATCAGTTACAGCAGGGACCAGTTACTTCTGTTCGCGACAGACGGAACTACGGCTCTAGGAGCGCGACGGCTGGAGCGAAGTTACGTCGCCGCCGAGGTCGAGCGTCGATAATAATCAGTTACAGCAGGGACCAGTTACTTCTGTTCGCGACAGGCGGAACTACGGCTCTAGGAGCGCAACGGCTGGAGCGAAGTTACGTCGCCGCCGAGATCGAGCGTCGATAGCCAGTTACAGCAGGGACCAGTTACTTCTGTTCGCGACAGACGGAACTACGGCTCAAGGAGCGCGACGGCTGGAGCGAAGTTACGTCGCCGCCGAGGTCGAGCGTCGATAGCCAGTTACAGCAGGGACCAGTTACTTCTGTTCGCGACAGACGGAACTACGGCTCTAGGAGCGCGACGGCTGGAGCGAAGTTACGTCGCCGCCGAGGTCGTGCGTCGATAATAATCAGTTACAGCAGGGACCAGTTACTTCTGTTCGCGACAGGCGGAACTACGGCTCTAGGGCGCAACGGCTGGGCGAAGTTACGTCGCCGCCGAGATCGAGCGTCGATAGCCAGTTACAGCAGGGACCAGGTGCTTCTCGAACCGCGACGGAGCGGCTCTAGGAGCGCGACGGCTGGAGCGAAGTTACGTCGCCGCCGAGGTCGAGCGTCGATAGCCAGTTACAGCAGGGACCAGTTACTTCTGTTCGCGACAGACGGAACTACGACTCAAGGAGCGCGACGGCTGGAGCGAAGTTACGTCGCCGCCGAGGTCGAGCGTCGATAATAATCAGTTACAGCAGGGACCAGTTACTTCTGTTCGCGACAGGCGGAACTACGGCTCTAGGAGCGCGACGGCTGGAGCGAAGTTACGTCGCCGCCGAGGTCGAGCGTCGATAGCCAGTTACAGCAAGGACCAGTTACTTCTGTTCGCGACAGACGGAACTACGGCTCTAGGAGCGCGACGGCTGGAGCGAAGTTACGTCGCCGCCGAGGTCGAGCGTCGATAATAATCAGTTACAGCAGGGACCAGTTACTTCTGTTCGCGACAGGCGGAACTACGGCTCTAGGAGCGCGACGGCTGGAGCGAAGTTACGTGTCGAGGTCGAAGCGTCGATAGCCAGTTACAGCAAGGACCAGGTTGCTTCTGTTCGCGACAGACGGAACTACGGCTCTAGGAAGCGCGACGGCTGGGCAGGGGTACGTCGCCGCCGAGATCGAGCGTCGATAGCCAGTTACAGCAGGGACCAGTTACTTCTGTTCGCGACAGACGGAACTACGGCTCTAGGAGCGCGACGGCTGGAGCGAAGTTAAGTCGCCGCCGAGGTCGAGCGTCGATAATAATCAGTTACAGCAGGGACCAGTTACTTCTGTTCGCGACAGACGGAACTACGGCTCTAGGAGCGCGACGGCTGGAGCGAAGTTACGTCGCCGCCGAGGTCGAGCGTCGATAATAATCAGTTACAGCAGGGACCAGTTACTTCTGTTCGAGACAGGCAGAACTACGGCTCTAGGAGCGCAACGGCTGGAGCAATCACGCGCGATGCTACGTACATACCAGTGCCAGTTACTACTGTTGGCGACCGACGAAATCGCGACGGCTGGAGCTAAACACGTCGCTATGCGGTTACTACGGTTCAAGCTAACTTCAAGAGCGATTATAAATAATTTATTTGCAAATTATAAATAATTTATAATTTTGTCGTCATTATGATCGTCGTTCTTCAGTAACAGGCTCCTGATCCGTTGTGGAGCGCGACACGACGTTACAAAAAAATACCGCTCCAAAATCGCGTTACTCAAATACTGACACATCAGTAGTATGAACTGACTACAAAAACGTAAATAGAATTCCACAGTACAGTGAGTTCGCTTCAAATCGAGTACATACAACTGGGTCTTAGATCAGTCTTAGTATACCTACCTAGGTGTGTTTACTAAAGGTGTGTTTACTAAAGGTGTGTTAGAACTCAACCTAACATTTCTTATATTCATGGTTGGTTTTGCAATGGGGGAAAACATTTCATCATCAATAATTTCTGCGGCTAAATTTCCAAATTTTTCCTTTATTTCTTGCGAGAGTAGTTTATTTTTATGTTTGCCAGATTTGATTATGCCGCTTGGTTGTATTTCATCTAGCTGTGCTGTGATTTGATCTTCTAGAAAGAGCCTGAAGAGAATGTAAGTAAGATTCGTCATATTTGTCATAAATTATCATAATCTATAATCCGATTTAAATAAAAAATAATATAGTATTAAAAATAAGTCAAGTCAAAAGTTAGTTACTTTGCTAGAATAACGTACAACAAAATAAACATAACAAGAACAATTCCTAAAACAATAACCTTTCTTTACTGTCCCCTATTGAATCGAATAAAAAACATACTGGATTTTATTTTTACACCACCTAAGTCATTTATTTGAAGTTATCAAAAAACATAAAAAAATATCAAAGTTGTTTGACTATATTATCTCCTATTATTTATCTATCTATGTATATATATTTTCATATTCTTTTCTAAGCTTTTGGAGAATATTATAGGCTTGGTGCATTTCAGTTGATTTCAACAAATTCAGACCGCAGCGCACTCTACGGTAGAAATCAGAAAATATCAACAAATAGTTCACGCCGCCGTCATGTCGAACGCATTAAAATAATATTGGAATCGGGGTTTTGTCATAATATTTAAGTGTACATCATAGTGTTGAACATAAAATGGCTAGTTTAAAGTTCTTAGTACATAGATTACTTAGTTTCCCACTTTCCAACGAAAGATATGAAATAGAAAGAGATTACATTAGGAATGTAGCTGAGTGTAATGGATATTCTCCTTCACTAGTTGATAAATTAATTAGAAAACGTAGGTATAGGTTAATGATTTCTGAAAATTCGACTTTTCAAGTGGAGAAAGATACGTCTAAATATTTTTCGATACCGTTTGATAGAGAGTTATCCCGTGGTCTAAAAGGAATTTTTAAGAATGCCAATTATAAACTTGTGTATAGTGCTAATAATAAATTACAACAATTATTAGGTAATCCAAAGGATAAAACACCTCCACTGGAAAGGTCGGGTATTTATAAAATTTCTTGTAAAGATTGTAATCAAGAAATATGTTGGGCAAACTAGAAGATCAATATTAACTAGATTTAAAGAACATTTAGCTCAGATAAGATATGGTAGACCGGATAAATCTTGCGTTGCCGAACATATTGTTGATAAAGAACATTGTATAGATCTTAATAATTTAAAATTAATTAAACAAGTCTCAAATTACAGGCAATTAGATGCATATGAAAGCATCAGAATTAATAAATGTAAAGATAGTAGGAACAGAGACAACGGTCCAATTCTTTCAAGTTCTTTGTTCCTACTACTCTAGTGGCGGAAATCTAACTGTTACGCTCAGTGGGCCTTGACTCGGTTGGCTGGATTTTGCCACGCCCACTCGGTGCCCACTGAGCGAGGATATAAACAGCTTTCCCGGATATTCAACTCTCCCGAAACAACATTTATTTTATAACTTCATAATTTCTTACACCGATTTGATCAATAGCAAAAATGGATTCAAGCAGTTCGACGAAACAAGTGAGTAAACAAAGTGCTCGTTACATAATCAAAAAATTAAATAGACATAATTTGCAATATTAATGGTATATTTTTTTTGATCAACTAGTGATTAAATGTTTTATGAACATCTTCTAAAATTATAATTATGTACCTTTAAAAAAATTCGTCATAGCCGAAATAGCTTCAATTATACCCCACTAGCAAACCCGATAATAAAACTATGCTCGCTACCGTAGTTGAACTGATCTAATTTTTTTTAACTGTAATAATGAATTATAATGCAAGTTAGACCTTCGGAAGATATCAAAATATTGACCTTTTTATTTTTTTGTTTAGAATTTCCACAAATTACACTTTCTAACACTTTTAGAATAATTATATACTAATTTTTTCGTTTACTCGCCATTTAAACCTGTGTATTTGTATGTGTTCGTTATTTACGAGTTCTCCGGCGGTGGCAGCACCGGCGGAGAATGCACCAAGCCTATATGGAAAAAAATGTTCACAAACTACTTAAATAGTCAAGAGTATTTTTTAGTACAAAGAGTGTAATTTGTGGCGTTTGTTGTAAAACTACTTTTTTGATATGTCATAACAGTTTGAACTTACTGATCTGGTGTTAATGAAGCATCCACGGCAAATTCCCGTTGAGAAGGCGAAGTCGATTTAGAGCGACCGTCATCTTCAAACCCTGGAGGTGGTGGCAAACAGATGTCAAGAGGTTCAATCGTAGTATCGTTAATTTGAATTATCTCGTCCACATTGCTTGATCTAAAATGTTAAACCAGAACAAAAAAACAATAAGAAATTCAGAAAACAAAGATAATAATTATCATAAAGTTTGTTCTGTCTTTTACATAAACGATCTTGTTGAAATCTTGATTTTTTTTTGGAGTAATTTTAATATTAGTTGCTAATAAATTGAAAAAGAGATGGGCTGAACAGAATTATAATTTACTCGTAAAAAACGTAAAAAAACAAAACGAAAAAATTTTTTTTTCTGCCTTCCCAACATATAGTTTCAATTATTTAGCCAGGCTATTTGAAATAAACAAAATAACATAATATATTATCAATTCTTCCTTTTTTAACATATTCCACAGAGTGTTCCTAAATTTTGCCAAAATAACAACCTTTTCTGTTCCCTGGTATAATTGACAAATGGGAGCTATAGTCTATAAAATGAATAACTTTGAATTTTGACTGTTATTTTTTACCCAACATGGCAAATATAAAATCCCTCTGTCAAAAAAGTTACTGATATTCTTTAAATTGAGTGCCTGAACGAATCAGATAGGTAAGTCTTTTTACTTTCGTGAAATAGAAAAGGAAAATAATAAAACAAGTGACAGTTCTTCCCCTTCTTGCAAAAATCAACACGAAATGTCATAATTGTCCAAAGTAAAATGTCATCAGCTTTTGACATTTCTAACGCAAGTTGCAAGTTGTTAACCTAATAAAATTAACACTAGGAAAGCCCGCGGGAACTGTCAAATTCAAAGTTATTCGTTTCATAGACTATAATAAACGCCACGAATGTTTGGGAGTGATTTATCAGTCGCTACCATGTGAACTATCTGTTCAAGGTCACCTAAAACTTAATTCCAGTGCCGTGGTGTTTCAAGTCATTATAATAATCAATATATAATCTGTTGTAATTTGTTGTTTTAACTGTCAAAGTCTTGTCAAAACATATATTTGGTTATAAATATAAAATGGAATGCCCCACTGGTCGCACTGCAAGCACACCAATGGACTGACGCACAAAAACGAATCAATCAAAGAAACGCGATATAGTATCGTCTTTGTCAATCACGCTAGCATTTTAGAATAAGTAGAAGGAGCGCAGGCAGATGATTAGACTGGGCCTTTAAAAACCTACGTCTGCGGTAAAAAATTACGTTTTTAATGTAAAAATGATAGCGCGCATGTCGATTCTAACTTCATCGAGCGATGAATCACTCCCAAACGTTAGATAAAGAGATACTAAAAAGCCAAATAATTTAGCAACAAATTGTTTAAAAGATCATCAAAATCGGTCAACTAGAAGACAACATATAAAATTTCAAAATACATAAAAACTTTAGGGTGCCGTGTTTTTTGTGTCGATGAGTGTATATCTTACCTATTAAAAGAAGGCCTCTTTTTCTCTTTCTGCGGCGTTGTTTCGCATATATCGTCATCGCTTTCACCACTGCTATCGATAATATCTATCCCTATTTGTTCAGTTTTATTTTTTACTTTGTCCTGTATTTTTATATCTTGTAAAATAGAGATCTTATCGCCGTTTTGTTCCCGTTTTTCTAATTTTCTGGCCTCAGCAGTGAAACTTATGTTTTCCAACTCAGCTTCTACTTCCTTGTCGTCGTCGCGTTCTAGATCAGCAAGAATCTGAAATGAAAATAAAATATTCCATAATACAATTTTGTATTTTTCGTCTCGTGGTTTTCTGTTTCAGCGGCAAAAAAACAGTTTTTTGAGAAATGAGAAATGCACGAGAACACGCCACAATGGTTAATATACAGGGTGTCACACTTAAGATGGATACAAGCCAATACCTTGGTCGTTCGTTTTGGCAGGAGGCTGATTGGCTATACTATACGTACATTTTGCCCAGGGTAAGAAATGCGATACCTCATAGACGTACGTTTTAATGGGGTTTGATATTTTTCGAGTCAAGAGTAAACTACCCTTAGGACAGTATTTATTTCAAATCTGATAAATTATATTGAATCCTCCTTACCTAAGATACTTAAGTTCTAATTTTTATAAATATTGATACAGGGTGTGTCATTAAAATAAGACATTTTTATTTTTATTAATATTTTTTTTAAGTACTGACGACGCCACTGGATAAACAACTGGTTTATTATCAATAACCTTTGAATAAGAAGACTAAGGAAGGAGCATAATGCTATCCATGTATTCATGCATGGTGGGCGGAAAAAGCACTCTAGGGTGGGGATCCTTGACAGTTCTGTTTGACGATTCATTTGACACATTTGAATTTGATTTGAAATTTTGTGGATTTGTCAGTCTGTACAGAGCTTATTTTATGTTATTTATTATTTATTCTACTACTGATAGTTGTATAAAGGTAGTAAATCTAGATGGAAATTGTGGCAAAACTTAAATTAACAGTAACACTATCGCGATATATCGAAAAAGACTCTAAAATAGTTGGTTGTGTAGCGTGCGGTAGATCTCGGCAAAAATTGAGTGAAATAATGGAACAACTTTTCGCTACTAAGTGACTATATAATATACATACGTGTAGTAAACCGATCATTTATGAAATTCACTTAAATTAACTAAATTATATATTTTTCTTGCATTTTAGCTTTTATTTACTACTTGTCAAAGATCAGATGTCAAAGAATTTTGATACGTTAATTTGACTTACCTGCTTCCAGTAGCGTATCGGATGTTTGTGTTAATAAATACTTATTATAACTTATCTATTTTATATTAGGAATTATATATTTAAAACAATTTTAATAACTACCAACATTTATTCACAACAATGTAAAATAAAACAACAAATTATTGAGTCTACCCCACGTCTACCCTACATCATAGTTTTACATTTTTTAAATAAAATTAGAACGGCACTGATAAACCGGAATTTAAGTCGGCCATATTTGAGGCCCATCGCGGTGTACCTAAGATTTTTGATATGCTCCTTCCTTAGTCTTCTTATTCAAAGTGAATAACCAATTATATCCAATTATCAATTAATAATCGATTTAAGTTTGGTCGAAAATGCTGACTTTTAGTTCGTTATAGTTTTATAAATCTTTGTTTAGAGCATATTTTTCAAAGTTAATAGTGATTGTTTTAAATTTTAAAAGCAAGATTTATCCGGTCTACCATATCTTATCTGAGCTAAATGTTCTTTAAATCTAGTTAATATTGATCTTCTAGTTTGCCCAACATATTTCTGATTACAATCTTTACAAGAAATTTCATAAATACCCGACCTTTCCAGTGGAGGTGTTTTATCTTTTGGATTACCTAATAATTACCGGATAAATCTTGCGTTGCCGAACATATTGTTGATAATGAACATTGTATAGATCTTAATAATTTAAAATTAATTAAACAAGTCTCAAATTACAGGCAATTAGATGCATATGAAAGCATCAGAATTAATAAATGTAAAGATAGTATGAACAGAGTCAACGGTCCAATTCCTTCAAGTTCTTTGTTCCTACTACTGTAGTGGCGGAAATCTAACTGTTAGCTCAGTTGGCTCTGACTCGGTTGGCTAGATTTTGCCACGCCCACTCGGTGCCCACTGAGCGAGTATATAAACGCTCAACTTGTAGATTGTACTTTAGTTTATAATCATCTGCTGATGATGCTAACATGGTTAGCGAAACGCGCGTCCAGTGGAAAAGTAAAAGTGTTTTGGTGTATTGTGGTGATTTAGTGTTTTTATTTTACCCTGTATAATAATTAAGATTAAATATAGTAAAATACAGTAATAAACTGGACTGATTCAACATATTTCCTGACAATAATTCAATATAATAAAACAGTTTCCATTTGTGATAAACTTTTTGGTGTATATTTATGAAAATTTACTCTACCTCGTCTATGTCATGAGATGTAGCACTCATTTTGCCACTTTTAGTATGTGACTCTATTCCAGTCTTCAAACTACCACGATTTTTGATAGTCACTTCACTTTGTAAGTTGTTTTCCTCGTTTTCATCAAAAAAAGAATCATCATTTTTCAACTCCTCCAAAATGTTAAGCGCATCCTGGGTGGATGTTCCATGCTGTGAACGTTTTGTGTTCAGTACTTTTTTGTCACCGGCCGATTTTTTACTTAACACACATCCAGTACTGGTGGTTTCAATTGCCTCCTCTGATACTGCTTTAGTTCCTTTCGATTTAAAATTTAAAAGTCTACAAGAAATATATACAATGAATTAAGAGTAAAAATGCAGTGTGGTCCACTGTCAAAGAAACTCCATATCAGTTTTTCTAATTGATATTTTGAATATTTTTTTTCATCAAAAATATTTTCATAGATTTTTTTTATTTGAAATTATTATACAGGGTTGTTCACCACATACGACACGAAGTATTGTAGCTAAACGACTAGATTTTTACAAATTGTAAGTTTTGGATTCGTTGAAGGACTATTGGAGCTACAATTTAAAAATATTTTTACAAAATACAGAGTGTCCCAAATAAATAAAAAATATCAAAGTTGTATTTTTTTAAATGGAACACCCTATATATTATTACATTTTTAGTTTCTACGATTAAAATAAAGGTAAATTTGATTAACGTTTATTACACTTAAACCTTACCGTTTTTGAAATATCTTCAATTTTGTGAAATTGCAGTATAAATTTTAAGGCTTCATTTCTCCGAGGATATCAAAGTTTTTAATACTAAATATTTACTGAAATTTATTTATTGATCAGTTATTGTATTGCAATAATAAAAACTTTACTACCTTATACAGAGTGTCTAAAAATTTATTTTAAATAATTTCTAGCTTCAAACGCCAATAACTTCTTTAATTTAAATAGAATACCCTGTATATTTTAGGAGAATCAGATGCACAATTTAATTGTCTATCAAATTGCATTATACCATTTTTTACCTATCCCTTCAAGTTTCCGTAGAAAATGCATTTTCTTGTAATTTAGAACTCATTTATCAATATACCCATGGAATACTGACATTTTAGATTATTTTTAAAGATTTTTAAAGAATTTTTAAAGAGTACAGATACTAATATTGTCGATATAGTTCGTTTATTTCATTAACAAATTAAAAAAAACTGTTTAAATATTTGTTAAAGAGGACCAATTAATATGATTTCAGTATTCAAACTACATTAATTGACTGTTTGCGTTGATTAATAATAATTGCTCCAAATACTAAAAAACTGAATTATGTATGTGTATTAGACAGTGTGGTAAAAAGTAACACCTTCAAAATTATATTTAATTTGTTGACAAATGCTTATTTATAACAACAGAGACGTTCATTTTCATAACTTATTATTATATTGATTTCTGATTCAAATCCACATTTATTTAGAATAATTTATTAACGAACACAATTAAGTATGTAGTTAATTAGTATTTGGGCGGAAATACTGGTGGTATATTTAATTAATGGTATACTCTTTTATAAAGATTTAAATAGTTCTCTTTTTGCATACAAATGGGCTAGTAATATTATCGTTTTACTAAAAACGATAATATTAAGGCTAGTAATATTATCGTTTTACTAAAAACGATAATATTACTAGCCTGTACATTTTGTACATTTGTTGTTTTAAAAACAATCTAAAATGTCAATATTCCATGGGTATATTGATAAATGAGGTCTAAATTATAAGAAAATGCATTTTCTACGAAAACTTGAAGGAATAGGTAAGAAGTGGTATAATACAATTTGATAGACAATTAAATTGTGCATCTGATTTTCATAAAATATACAAGGTGTTCTATTTAATGTAAATAAGTTATAAGACACTCTGTATAAGGTAGTATAATTTTTATTATTGCAACACAATAACTGATCGATAAATAAACTTCAGTAAATATTTAGTATTAAAAACTTTGATATCCTCGGAGAAATGAAGCCTTAAAATTTATACTGCAATTTCGCAAAATTGAAAATATTTCAAAAACGGTAAGGTTTAAGTGTAATAAACCTTAATCAAATTTACCTTTATTTTAATCGTAGAAACTAAAAATGTAATAATATACAGGGTGTTCCATTTAAAAAAATACAACTTTGATATTTTTTATTTATTTGGGACACTCTGTATTTTGTAAAAATATTTTTAAATTGTAGCTCTAATAGTCCTTCAACGAATCCAAAACTTACAATTTGTAAAAATCTAATCGTTTAGCTACAATACTCCGTGTCGTATGTGGTGAACAACCCTGTATAGGGTGCGTCTCAAAAGTGGCTCACCCCTATAACTTTTTTATTTTTTCAGATAAATAGACGAGATTTGGTATACTAGTATATTATGACATAAATTAGGATTGATTGGTGGTATTTTAAAATTCAATCTAGGATCCCATGGCTATGTTAAAAACACTAATTCTTCATCAAGGAGCCTTGAAAACATAGATTCGATCGTCTAATGTTTTTAGTGTCTTGTCCTGTCAAGTTAGAAAATGCTCTAATCGTATTTTTAATCATATCTCAATTTTTTCAAATGAAACGGGAGTGGCTCATTAGCATATTTGGAAAAAGCATTTTTTACGAATAATTTGATACCAAACACTTGGTATTTCGAGTCAAATTTTCGTTACGAACCGCAAGCAATAATTATTATAATAAACCATATGGGAAAATGTCAAAAGTTGACATGTGATATGTCATTCTATTCAGTGTTATTTTCTATTGAATCAAGTAAAAAATACCGAGGGTGCCATTTAAAAATCAAAAGTTGTAGTCATTTTCGGTAAAAAAGGAAATGACCAAAAGCAATTGAATTCGTCAATCAATCCTAATTTATGTCATATACTAACATACCAAATATTTTTTTTACTGAAAAAATAAAAAGTTATAGAGGTGATCCAGTTTTGAGACGCACCCGGTATATAAAACTTTATCCTATATCACTAGAAAATTTTTTAAATGTAACACTCAGTCTAAAAAAACACAGAAAAACGGGCGTCTTACTTGAGTTTCTTAGAATCATGTAAAACAGTCGGCGTTCCAAGTATTAGATCGCTTTCCGTATTAACTGATTTTTGTAGTTCTTCATACTGGTGAATTTCTTTCTCAATTTTATCCATATTTTCTTCGAACTGTGTATTTCCTGTAAAAATTCCATTTCCGCTGCTAAATTGTTGCGTGTCAATTTTTCTTTTCTGCGATTTTTGTAATGCGCTCTTCGTGCAATTTTCCGGTTGCTTTTCAGGTGTTTTAGCAGCACAGGTCTTAATATTTTTGGTTGGTGACCCATATTTTTCCATTACTTCCTTTAAATATTTCTAAAAAAAAAATAAATTAAAAATAAAGATTTGATTAAAATAAATCTATATACATCATAGTCAATGTTATCATCGTCCTCTGTCACCAAATCGTCGCTTTCTTTTACATTTTCCGTGTCTAAAAATTCGACAGTTAAATCATCCTTAACAAATTTCCTTTTGCTTGGATTTGTGCCGTCATCGGAGTCACTATCCGGATTTACTTCACGAATTCTTTTAAATTTCCTAAAAATTAAAGGAGATTTATAAAAATTAAAATATTTTCAAAAAAATACTTTAACTGTTATGACAGTAGTGCGTCGGGCATCTGTAGCTCCTAGAATAAAAAACTTGAAAATTTTGTTTAAGTGCATACCGGAAAAGTCTAGGGATATTACAATTTTATCCAGCCATCGTCAGTAATTTTATTATTTGCATTTCTGATATAATAAAATTAAAATAAACAAATAGTTTACAGGACGTATTGGAAATAAAAATGCGAAATTTACCGAATTTTTCAAATTTACCTTGATTTTTATTGAACTCAAAAAAATACACACATTTTTTTTTATTCTAAACTGTGAATTAAAAAAAAAGATAAAACCATTTTTACTTAATAAAGGGTATGGCCTCCTCTACTGTTCATTACAGCCCTACATCGTCTCTCCATGCTCCTGATCAGGTTGTCGATCTCTTCTTGAGGTACAGCCTGCCACGCTGCATTCACGGCCCGAACCAGATTCCTACGAGTTTCACGAGGCATACCCATTCTCAAAATTCTTCTTTGGACCGCGTCCCATACGTACTCGATGGGGTTGAGGTCAGGAGATTGTGCCGACCGGGGTAAGATGTTTAATTGATGAGCATTGATAAACTCACTTACCACTCTGGCTGTATGAGGCAGTGCATTGTCATGCATGCATGAGAATGAAGTTTCTCCCAAAATCATTGGCATACGGTAACACGACAGGCTCAAGAATTAAATCACGATATGTGATTCCTGTTAGAAACCTTTCAAGAAAAACGAGATCGGTTTTTCGGCCTAACTGGACTCCTCCCCAGACCATAACTGTTCCACCTTGATAAGGATGCACTTCCTGAACATGATCCAACCGAATAAGATTTCCCGGTTCTCTCCATACCCTAAGCCTTCTCGAATCCGGATGAATTCCAAAGCGTGAGTCATCCGTGAAAAGAACATTGGCCCATTGTTCATTCGACCACTGAACATGATCTTGAGCCCACAAATATCGTACCTCTCGATTTCCTCTCGTTAAGGGTTGAGCTCTCCAGAGGCGTCTGTTTCTTAAGTTGACCTCACTTAATTTATTGCGAACAGTGTCAGGACTAACGGTTACATTATGTGTTTCCTGGAGAATTGAATTAAGCTCTGGTGCTTAATAGTCGGTCGGCGTCGAGCATTAAATTGTAAAAAATGGTCTTGCTGAGGGATAGTAATGCGATGTCGCCCTGTGTACCTTTCAGCAACATCACCACTTTCACGGTAGCGTGCACTTAATCGCGATATTACACTTTGCGTTGTATTTAATGCTCTAGCTACGTCGATTTGGCGCATTCCAGCTTCGAGCATACCCATGGCCCTTAGCATTTCGTCTCTGTTAAGATGTCTACGCTACATAATGTGGTTTAATACTAAACAGAGTTATTTGAATGAATTCTGGCCAGTTATCATAAAAACATAGCCAATACAGGTTAAATTCGAACAATTGATGCTAGGTGCTTTTTATACATTTGACAAAAAAAGCACAAACACTTCTGCAAATATCCCAAATTAAGAAATAACTAGTGTGACTAGTGTAGTAGAAAGAATCGGCCTACAAATATGTGGTTGTTTATTCAAAACATTTATTTTTAACTTTAATGAAATGATATCCTTAGATTTTTCCGGTGTGTGTATTTCAGGAAAATATTTTATCCTCTATAGGGTGACTCAAAAAGTGTAAGCGGATCCGGATAATTTTTTTTAATAGAACACCCTGTATATTATTGCATTTTTAGCTTCTTTTCAGATCACTTTACATAACCCTAAAATATGAGTAAATATATTTCGATAGTTTCAGAGATATTAATAAATAAAAAATATATATTTTTCAATCTTCGTTAAAAAAATTATTACAAATACAAGAACCTGTTCTGAAATCAAAACTATATTAGGTATTTACTTTAGATGGTCTATCCATACTTTGCTATAAATATCGTAATCTTAAATCATACAAGGTGTTCAAAATTCTACGCCAAACTTTCTAAAATATAAAACAATTTTTCTTCGTTTTTTTTTAATGGAACACCCTGTATATTATTTTTTCAGTAAATGGAGAATTAAAAAATTAACATTTTTTGTATTTAAAGTATTTCAAAAGTTTTAATGGTTTTGCATATTAATATCTCTGAAACTATCGAAATATATTTACTCATATCTTAGGATTACGTAAAGTGATCTGAAAGGAAGCCAAAAATACAATAATATACACTTACCCTTTTTTGAGCCATCCTATATAAGTTAAAATATTTTCCCGAAATTCATTCTAGTACATACATTAGGTTTGCACTTAACAGAATTCTCAAGTTTATTATTCTAGGAGCTACAGATGCCCGACAAACTATTGCCGGACCCTGTATACTGTATGACATAGACATTGCAACACCCAGTATAAATATGCTTAACCATATAATGTATGTTTTGTCGGTTGATTGCCTGCATGAAGTGTAGTAAACGATAACGTTTCTTTCCCACTCTGTTAACGTAACCAAATTTACACATATATATTGCAATTTTTAGGTCACACCGGTATATTAAGTAACAAGTATATGTATTAATTATTTATTTTAATTATTGTATGTGATTTTCTACAAAATACCTGGAGGAACTCATGTCTTCGAATAGCTTTTTGTTAACTTGTCTTTGTGATTTTTTAGACTTTGCGGAATTCAATGTGCAAACCAAAAGTGAATTCAAACTGTGCTGGTGTTGGCTTGAGTCAATTTTTGAAAACGTTTTTGGACTATTATAGGCCATATTCGCCTCGTTAGTAACATTTACATTATTAGATTTGGATGTGTTTACAGCTAGAAGCATGTTAATTATGATTAATACTAAACTCACACCCAATACACCTAAACAAAATATTTAACACCTAAATAAATAGAGTTATATTTTAATAATAATTAGAAAGGAGAAAAACGTGTTAAGCGCCATTTTACTAATTTTACAGGAGAGTCCCGGACGCATATTTGTAAACGACGGACGTCCATGATAACGATTCGGTTCTAGGCCGAACGATACCGCGTAAACAGCATACGATATCGCAAATTCGTCTGGTAACTAGCAATTTATCCTGGGGCGGGCCTGGGGAGGGGCCTGGGGTTGAGCCCAGCTGGGGGGGCTTTTGTTTTTTTAAAAATGAAAAATAATTTTAAAAAACACATTTTTTTGAATAAAAAGTTTACATGAATTTCTCTATCAATAAATTTCATAGACTTGGTTATCAAACCGTGTAGATTACTTAAATACCTACAAATTTTCTAAAAAAAATCGAAATTAAACATTTTTTGAACACAACAAAATAATATTAACTAAACAAAACTAGAAAACGTCATTTTTACTGCATCACAAGCAAATAAAAATTAATACATAGCCAAGAGTCATAACTCAGGATTTCTCTGGGGGGTACCCAGCAGCACATGGAGGGGGCCCGGCACCCCTGTTGTTACGCCAATGCTGGTAAATAGCATCCGTGATTCCAAATTTTATAACTGCCTTAACACTTCTTATAAACGGTAGACGATATCGCGAAATTTGTTGATTGGTTGCTCGTAATCAGCATTCAAGATCACAAAATTCGCAAGTGCAAGATGTCTACCAAAGAATATAGTACTAAATAATATTTTGCAAAAAAAATAATTTTCCCCCAAACTTTTTACTTTATTCAATAGAAAATGGATGACATATCATATGTCAACTTTTGACATATTCGCTCAAAAACAAATTGTATTTTAAATTTCAATCTAGAGTGCCATGGCTGTGTTAAAAACACTAATTTTTAATCAAGGAGTCTTGTAAAAATATATTTTATTTGATCGTCTAATATTTTTAGTGTCTTGTCTTGGCTGGTTAAAAGATGCACAAATCGTATTTTTAATCATATCTCAATTTTTTCAAATGCAACGACGCACAGTGGGGTATTTGACATTGATAGTTCATCGAATTTTTTTTTATGTACACCTTATATAAATTATTGCTATTTTCAATTAAAGAGGAAATAATATGAACAAAATAAAGGATAATTCTTCGATTCTAAAAAAAAGGAAGAAACATCACTGTTACAGTGTTTCCAGGGTCAATGACACTAATGCCAGTAGTAATATCGCAACTAATACTACTATTGCTACGACTGATCCGCCACCAATGCCCATACCACTAAAGCCGTTACTAATGCCAAATTGTGCTATACTGCTAATGGCACTAATGCGATCGCTTTTTACACAACAATGCCATCGCAGTTTACACCTCGCATTAGTATCATTGATTTGCAAATTAGAGGAAACCAAGAATGTTTTTCTTATTTTATCAGCAAAGTCGCAGTATTATATTTTACTGTATGAAAGCCCAATGCTTACTAAGTAAAACGTATATATATACAATATGCTAAATTCTTCAAAATGCGCAACTAAATCTCTAAGTATAATAAAAATGTCACAGATTTAATCAAATTTTCTGAACGCCTAACTTTTAGTTGCAAAAAAATCGTTAGTATAGAGAATATCAAAATAAATAATATGTTTTTGTAGAATACATACCTGCAGCTTGCTGAGCCATTTTCAATCAAAACAATAATATAAACGTAAAAGGAGCACAAGAACAACAACAATTTATAATTTTAAACATAAAATTTAGCCAACTTTGACGTTTTGTTGAAACAGATGAATGCAACTAAACACACCCATTGCAACGCCATTCATTGCAGACATGATTTAACTTATCATTTGTCTGTTTTTGGGAAATCTTAAACACATTTGCTTTTTCGAATTTCGATCACCTTTTTCATGCTAATACACCACCGTGCGACGGTGGCTCATTATCATATTTGGAAAAAGCGTTTTTTTACGAATAATTTGATACCACACACTTGGTATTTCGAGTCAAATTGTCGTTATGAACCGCATGTTATAATTTCAAATAAACGATACCTATTCGAAAATGTCAAAAGTTGACATATGATATGTCATTCGATTCAGAGTGTCATTTTTTATCGAATAAAGTAAAAAAATACCGAGAGCGTCATTTAAAAATCAAAAGTTGCAGTCATTTCCGCTGAAACCGGAAGTGACCGAAAACAATTGAATATGTCAATCAATCCTAATTTATGTCATATACTAATGTACCAAAACTCGTTGTTTTATCTGAAAAAATAGAAAAGTTATAGGGGTGAGCCACTTTTGAGACGCACCCGGTATAAGCTAATAGATAAAGAAATTTTTAGAACACGTTTCATTAAAAAGGTTGTATTTTATTTTATTATTATATTCTACGTACAATTCGGTAACTTCTTTTGCATATGATATGTTATAGTTAAAATTAATAGATTTTGTAATAATTCAATCTGTTTAAAGAAATTAATGTTAGATTTACGGTAAAAATTATCAGTGATGCAAAATTTGGAAATTCTATCAGAAAAAATGATAATACATACGGTGTACCATTTAAAAAATTAGAGATTATTTAATTTTAAATAGTCGAAATTGATAAATTAGAGCTAATATCTCGCAGTCGAGCGAGCATACCAAAAACACGTCGACTGTGCCGCGAGTTTTCTTTGATCGGCACGAAACGGATAGCAACGAAGCTCCGTGGGTCGCCTCTCTCTCCTCTCGTTAGGTCTGGACGCACCTTTACATATGACAACCGAATATCTAGATAGGTACCCAGAGTTCCGTGCAAATGATCGTCAGTCGAGTGGCTGTCTAATAAATAGGCTGTGGTTATATTAAAAAAACATACATACTTGTAAATTCTTCCATGTTATTGTCGATAGGTTTTATAGATTCCTCAACATCCATTTTTTCTTCACTACTTCCTATTATCAAATTATCAATATCTTCATTTGTTTTATTTTCTTCAGTTTGAGTTTCCACATGCTTTAAAGAACAAGATGTTTGTAGACCCATAGAGTGCATTTGAACTACTCGAGTCTGCACTGTTTTATTCAGGTAACTAAATTTATTAGTCTGTGTATAGGCATCACATTTAATAACGCCATCAATACGTGAAGTTTGGACTGCTTTTTCATTATTTTGTTCAATTTTTAATTGTTGTATTTTATCCACGTAGGTTTTGAGATTTGAAAAACAATGCAGCAGTGAATCACCGTCAAAATTTTTAACATGCTTCATACAATTATCTAAATTATCAGATAATGCAATAGCAATGGTTGTTATATTAGTCATATGCTTTGATACAGGAACAACATAAATGTTATCTATTATATTACTGTCATTGCTAGTTTTTTGAGTTGCCATTGAAAATATATCATCATTTAAATCTTCTTCAAGATTACACACATTTTTATCTCCATTTTGTTCAGATATGTCTTGATTGCAATCTTCAATAACAAGACACTGTTTTGCACGACTTTTTTGGTGATTAACCATATTTTCTTTAGTACATTTGTCTATATTATTTGAGTTAGACTTTGTTCTGTTGTGAGTATGCCGCTCCTTCTGATCTTTTTGTTTGGCATTTCCCTAATTAAAGTAAAAAAATAACAAATAATATATTTTTTTCTTGTTATAATTTGGTCAGAACTAAAATATTAATTTTTAAAGTTATTTATTAAAAAAGTTACTTATATTTTGATAAAAACCTATATATAGGCACTTAAGGGTTAAAATAAATTACACTAAAATAGATTAAATTGCTTGGTATATACAGAGTGAGCCAAAACTCATTGCTTCTCTGCGACTTCCAACACCCCATATTTTAGATCAAAAATTAAGAAGGCAGTGAAATACAGTGATCTTTATGATTTTTTGCTAGTAGCTGTTGGTCATAAAACTATACCTATATAGGTATCTTATAAAGATTCAAAAAAATCTTGAATAGAAAATCTGACAAAACTTATGTGAAACACTGGATCACCCTGTATATTAATTATCAATTTAACATAAACTTACTTCAATTATGTGTATAGGATTTTCTTTTTCTTCTACAGGCCATTCTAAAAAAACAAATAGGTAAAAAAAAATATAAAAGAACAAAAAATATTTAAATAAAAAATAAATAATATTTTATACTTCAAAGCACATTATATTTACTTCTATTCTTAGCATTACTCTTAGCAGTAGATTTCCTCAGTGGTCTTTTTCCCTTATTATCTTTGATACTGCTGTTAATATCCTGCAAAACAATTTTTAGTTTTTTGGGCTCCTTTTTTATGGTTCTTAATGACTTTTTTACATTTCCAATTCTATCCCACCCCGAAGCTGAACCGGCATTTGAAAAATTGGGTGATACATTTTTTGTAGTTTGGGCTTTTTTATCTTTGTTGAAAATATTTTTAGCAACCTCCGTTTGCTTAGCTATATTTTCTAGATTGACTAAGCACTGATCCTCTAACATGTCTTGTAATACCTTTCTTTCAACCTGCAACATTAAATTAATTGATTTCCTGTTAAATAAGCACAAACATTTTAACCTGCTTCATTAACTCTTCTGATTGAACTTCTTCAATGTTGTAGTTGTCAATGTCACCAAGACTCTGGCTTAAACTTTGGTATCTCCTTAAAATTTTATCTTCGGCCTCATCAGCTATTGATAACGATTGTGTCCTTCCTTTTGATCTGTTATTCTTCACTACCTTTCTACCTACTTGAGAAACAGAAGGAATTTCAAAATGATCATTAGATTTCAACTCAGATTTATTTTGTGTTAAGATGTCAAGTTTTTGTTTATTTTCTTTCAACCAGTTAACAACTTTCGATCTTGTTTCACAATTATCAAAATCTAAAATTTCTTCTCTTGTTGATAATTTGTTTTTGTTTGTGTAACATTTTCTTTTATTTGATATCAATTTATCAAATGCATCTTCAACAGGTTCCTTCTTATTTCTTGGGATATCATCATCTGAAGGTATTATATAAATGTTGTTTGGGGCTGTTTCAATTATCTTTTCAAGTTGATTGCTATTAACTTTTTCTATCTCTTCCACTGCAATATAATGCTTATATAACAATGTAATGTAAAATTAATAAAATAAATTCGCATTTACCATCATAAGTATATTTTTCTTTGATTAGCTGACAAGTTTCATTAACAAATCTGCTTAGAGAGTTCAAAAACTCATCTTTATAAATCGAACGACGTCGACTTATAACAGCTTTACAAACTGGACAAAGCACAGTTTGTTTTCCAAAACATTCTCTACAAAACAAATGTCCACATTCGGTTTCCACTACATCTTGTACATAATCGTAACTAAAAATTAGGGGTACCAATATAATGTATTAAGTAAATATATTATTATATAAAACTGAAAAAATATTCTAAAAAAATTACCATACTGAACATTTCACTTTTTTCTTCAGATCTATAATAATATTCGACAATTTTAACAACTCTTCTGAATCCATATTTAAAACGCTTTGTTACTGTTTACATTATGTACAGAAACACAATAATCATAGTAAATGACGAATAAATTGAACCTATTTCTAATTTTTTCTAGATTGATTATTCCCTGTGATTATTCCTGTTTTCTCTTTTCACTTCACAGTTCCCCAGTGCTGCCAGATCGTCGAAATGAATATCGGTAGATTTGACTATGATTTTTCGGTAGATTCCGTTAAAAATCGGTAGATTTGATTTTTTTGGTTGAATGTGGTATAGAGGTACAGACTAACACAAAATGTGTATTTTTTTAAAAAATACACAGATATCTGTATAGAATACAGATTTTTCGTAAACGATATCAAATATTTTTTCTAATTCGACAGTATGAAATAAATCAAGTTTGAAATTATTAGAATAAAATGTTTATTAAATTATTATTCTACTTACATATTATTATAAATATAAAAATATTTCGAACAAATGGGATAAATATACAAAAGTGTAATATAGCTTATTTTGAGGTGGACCTATTCCTATTCTCTGTATAAATTTGTACTGGTCATACTGTTAATTAATTTTTTATCGACTGGAAAATCATAACAGTTTTTGACTCCTATATATTCTTTGGCATAGAGAAGAGAAGCTGTGGTATCTGAATTTAATGACATTCTTTGATTTGTTTTTATTAAATTTAACTGAGAGAATTTCCTTTCTACATTAGCGGATGAAACTGGTAAGGAAAGAATACATTTCACAAAATTAACTAGTAAATTAAAAGCTAGTTCTCCATCACCCCTTTCCATTTTATGTACTTCCTGCCAAAATAATATAACATCGTTTGAAAGAGTATTTATGTCTTTGGTATTTCGCAGCAGGCGCCACTGGTTATCTAAATTTTGTAGATTTTCGGGCTGTATCAGATTGGGAAATAAAAGTGCTATTGGAACAAGTGACGAGACTGATCCAGATTTTATAATAGCAGGGTCGACAAAATCAAGTTTCTCTAAAACATTATTTTTTAAAGGAAACCGCTGTATTATTTGAGAACAACCTTCTGTATAAAAATCTAAGCATCTTAATCGAAAAAATGTTAATTGATCTTGTGAAATCGTGCTTTCGGAAATAGTTTTCATAACATTTCCCCCTAAATATATATCTTCGATAGCCAAAAAATTTTTAGGATTTTTATAGTCAATATTTTCAAGGGGGAGTATTTACGATGTAATTTCTTTTCAAAAAACAATCAAAAATACTTCTTAAAATATTAGTTACGTTTTTATAGATCAGGTGAATTTTTGGTGATTCTGATTGCATTTCTTTGTTTAAGTTTGTGAAAAATGGCAAGATAAAGTCTAAAAACTGTAAAAATAATTTTGTCGTAGGATCTCTCAGTTTTGTTAATATGTTTTCTGCAGCAAGTAGGTCATTTTGGCTGACAGCATCTGTAAAATATAACTGAAGAGCTCCGTACTGTTCAAGAATCCTGGATATAGCAGAATGAACAGAGAGCCAACGTGTTTGGGCAGGATGTAGAATTTTATGGGCTTTAACATCACAAAATTCCTGGAATTCTAAAAACTGCGAGGTTCTTTTAGGACTGGAACTAAAATAATTATATACATCACGTGTTAAGTCCTCTACAAACCGAGGCAATTTTTGGCAGGCATAGGAAGCGCATAAATGAAATGAGTGACAGATACATTTCATTACATATAATGCTGGAATATCTTTTTTTAGTAAACTCATTACGGAATGTTGGTGTCCCATTAACACATTCGCACCATCTGATGCAAATCCTATCAGATTTTGTTTATAGGGTATATCATTACTGGTAAAATATTCAACAATGTGATTATATAGTGTTAAAGCATCTGCTGAAGAAAGTTTTATTAATCCAAAAAAGTCATCCTTAATGTTATCGTCACGATAGCTTCTTACCACCATGCACATCTCCTTTTCGCATTTTCGATCAGTGGACTCATCCACGATTAAGGAAAACTTCACATTTCGGAGGTGTTGACGTAAAGTATCAAAGCCATGTTCCCCCAAAACATATTTTACTATAGATGTAGTCTTTGTTCTGCCGCAAGCCAAACCTTGCGCAATTTTCGAGTCGGGACATATTTTAGACACAATTTTAACCAAATGGTCCATTGTCGCGAACGGCAAATTGTGCTCGGCGATAAAAGCACTTAATCGTATTTCTCCTAAAAGTGATTTAAAAATAATATAAACTATCTCAAATTATAAATCAGCAATTACCGTTTTTAATGTCATCCTCAAGATTTTTTTTCATTGATGGTCCCGCTGTCATAAATCCCTCAAGAGTTTTCTGTTTTGAAATAGACTTAACGTTTTTTTCATGGTTTTTACTTGAACTGTGTTTAACTAATGCATCCTTTCCGCTGCTGACATTAATTTCTTTTCTGCAAGGCTTACATAAAGCATATTCTTTACCCTTTTCACTTTTAGTCAACCACCCTTTAAATCGTGGTGAACTTTCCCAACTTTCTTTGTAGCACTGTGCATATTTTTTCTTTTTTGCTGCTCCAGAAACGGATGTATCATTCACATCTGATGTGTCGGATTCAGAGCTCATGTTCAGTAAAATATTTTAACATTAAAAATAAAATCACTTAAGAAAACTAAACTGGACAACACTCAGATTCAAATTTCAAATGTCGCAACTCGCAACACACAAAAATGAAAATAATAAATCGCGTTGGGGAGTCCCCTCCCGGCATCAGCAATATAAATTGTATCGCCGCTGGTATTACTTAACGTGAAAACATAATCAACTGTGCTATATTATAAGTTTTCCAAAGTCAATTGGAATGGTTTGGGGCTCTAACTGCGGCATTGTCTTTGTCGGCGAGTCGGCGTCTTTGTCCGCATCCCTGGACTATAGAAAAGCAAATTAAGGGTCCCAAACCATTTCAACTGATTTACATGTTCCAACATCAAACTCCAAGCACGACTACGTAGAAATTTTTTTATATCGCAAATATATTAAATTCTTATAAAAATCAGTATTTAGAATTAGAATAAATTTTATTGTAGTATAGATTTTTTTTCGGTAGAAATTGAGCTAAAATCGGTAGATCGGTAGGTTACTCCTTAATTCGGTAGATCTACCGAAAAATCGGTAGATCTGGCAGCACTGCAGTTCCCCTTTCGCGCGTTAATTTAATTGACATGTTTTGACATGCAATAGACATGCAATTGAAATATATATGAAGCTAGGTTCATATATGTTCATATATAAATGTATCTAATGATTAAAATAAACCACATTCTCCCATATTTCTGGGAAGAGTAAATTATGCCTATTTTTTTTTTGAAAGTAGGAGATTTCGGACTTAACCAAATATTAAAAAAAAAAAATAAAAATGTCGATTTTGGTTAGTGTTTTCAAGTGTTTTGATGGTGTTTTCCATTGAATATCTAACATATTTGGAATGGGAAAATATTCTAGTGAATCTGATAATGAGAAACAAAGTAGCAAGTCATCAAAGGGCAGAGGAAGGCATAGGTAAGACATTTGTATTTCAATAGTTCCCTGTTTTCTTATTTATGTTTATAGATCATCATCCACCGACTCTTCTAGCTCGAGAAGTCGAACCAAAAAATCATCGAAAAAGTCAAGTCGTAGAACCAGAAGTAGAGAAAGATATATAAGATCGCGGTAATGTTGTCAGTATAGTTATAATTTACTTTTTGAAATTTACACCTTGTTTTTATCCAGACGGTCGAAAAGTCCTTCGTACTCTTCTAAATTGAAAAATCGAAGGTCGACTTCGAGGGAACGGTCAAAATATAAAAGGAGTTCGTCCAGAGATAGATATCGAAGATCAAAATCCAAGGAACGTTATCGTTCGAGACGTTCTTCATCCAGGACCTATATAAAGGAATATACGTCGAAATCGAAGAAGAGATCCTCATCAAGTTCTTCTAGTTCTAGTTCGGATAGAGATCGACAAAAAAGGGAGACAAAAAGCAAGTCAGAAAGTGGTTGGTATTCAATATGTTGTTTGTAATATTTTTAAATCCCAATTAATTTTAGCTACCAGTAAAAGTAAATCATCAATCAAAAAGGAAAGAAGTAAATCTCCAGTTACTACCCGGATTGACAGTAAAACGCTGGTAGAAATTAACGAGGATAAATTTGTTCCCAAAGAGTTTAGTTCAAGTAAATCGAACAAATTACCAGACAATATTGTTATAGACCTAAAGAAACAAACTATTAAAGTTCCAGAAGTTGAACAAGTAGAGCCTGACAGTATTTTTCATCACAATGTAAGTACAATATCGAATTATTAATAGGAATTAAATAAGTAATACTGTTTATTTTATAGTTATTTTTAAATGAAGAGACTCGAATGGAGAAATGGGCAAAGGAATTATATTCCTATCGCCAGAAAGCATTGCAGCAAAGTTTAAAGACAAATTAAAATCATGAATCGACTTGCAGTTGTATTTTTCCTTTCAGTGTTTAGTAGTGTTCTGTTTTACTTTTTAAATGTTTCTATTTTTGATATATTATGTGAAAAAGAAACGTGTCCTTTTTGCTATGGGAACAATTTTTGTAATGAATTAAAAATTCATACTTATTTAGATTATAGCAATGGCTGGTATCTTCTTTTTAATTTTATTAGTGTAAAAAATGTTTATTTTTCAAAATATAAGCAACAAAAAATAGTGATCAAAAAGCTAGCACAAAAATCTAGATTTCTAAAATTAAATAAGGATATTCTACAAATAAAAGGTAAACTAGTAAATGAAGATATTATAAAACTTCTAGGTAAAAACTCAAATCAGTTTCAAGTGTGTGATAGTGAAACTTCTAATCTTTTACTGAGTAGTTTAAATTCCCAAAATATTAACAATATTTGGACAATCTTTAAAATAAATCCTGAGCCGATATTGCTGGAACTTTTTAAACAAGAGAGCAAGTGGCCAGTTCCTAGATTTTATGGTGCCTGTGGACGATGTATTATTGTAGAAAATGGGGGAATACCTTTAGGGGAACTAGAATCATTGAATTGGTACGATCGTGCATATATTTCTTATCAATTGTTGGAACTTGCAGAACAGTTTACTTTTGGGCATGATTTATTCAGATTATATTTGACAGACATATCTCCAGATAATATTGTAGTGAATATGGATAATTTGAAAGTGAAATTTGTTGATTTAGAACATGGAATTTTGAAGAAAAAAAATTCAGTGGGTATGTAATAAAAATAAGGCTTTATTAATAAGTTTAAATAAACTTTTGGATTTATTAAATAGATTAACAATCTTTGAATGATAATAAACTTTACTATGCATATTTGTAAAATACAGGGTAGTTCACCACATACGACACGGAGTATTGTAGCTAAACGATGAGATTTTTACAAATTGTAAGTTTGGGGTTCGTTGAAGGACTATTAGAGCTACAATTTAAAAATATTTTTACAAGATACAGAGTGTCCCAAATAAATAAAAAATATCAAAGTTGTATTTTTTTAAATGGAACACCCTGTATATTATTAAATTTTTAGTTTCTACGATTAAAATAAAGGTAAATTTGATTAAGGTTTATTATACTTAAACCTTACCGTTATTGAAATATTTTCAATTTTGTGAAATTGCAGTAAAAATTTTAAAGCTTCATTTTTCCAAGGGTATCAATGTTTTTAATACTAAATATTTAATGAAGTTTATTTATTGATCCGTTATTGTGTTGCAATAATAAAAATAATACTACCTTATACAGAGTGTCTAAAAATTTATTTTAAATAATTATTAGCTTCAAACGGCAATAACTTCCTTAATTTAAATGGAATGCCCTGTATATTTTAGGAGAATCAGATGCACAATTAAATTGTCTATCAAATTGTATTATACCATTTCTTACCTATCCCTAAAAGTTTTTGTAGAAAATGCATTTTCTTATAATTTAGACCTCATTTATCAATATATCCATGGAATATTGACATTTTAGATTGTTTTTAAAGCAACAAATGTACAGACTAGTAATATTATCGTTTTTAGCAAAACGATAATATTACTAGCCCATTTGTATGCAAAAAGAAAACTATTTAAATCTTTATAAAAGAGTATACCATTAATTAAATATAACACCATTGTTTCCGCCCATATACTAATTAATTACATACTTAATTGTGTTCGTTAATAAATTATTATAAATAAATGTGGATTTGAGTCAGAAATCAATATAATAATAAGTATCAAATTAAAGTCTCTGTTGTTATAAATAAGCATTTATTAAAAAATGAAATATCATTTTTAAGGTGTTACTTTTTATCACACTGTCTAATGCCCATACAAAATTCAGTTTTTTAGTATTTGGAGCAATTATTATTAATCAATGCAAACAGTCAGTTAATGTAGTTTGAATACTGGATCATATTAATTGGTCCTCTTTAACAAATATTTGAACAGTTTTTTTTTATTTTTTAATGAAATAAACGAATTATATCGACAATATTAGTATCTGTACTCTTTAAAAATTTGATACATCTTTAAAAATAATCTAAAATGTCAATAGTCCATGGATATATTGATAAATAAGTTCTAAATTACAAGAAAATAAATTTTCTACGGAAACTTAAAGAGATAGGTAAAAAATGGTATAATATAATTTGATAGACAATTAAATTGTGCATCTGATTCTCGTAAAATATACAGGGTGTTCCATTTAAATTAAACAAGTTATTGCCGTTTGAAGCTAATAATTATTTAAAATAAATTTTTAGACACTCTGTATAAGGTAGTATTATTTTTATTATTGCAACACAATAACTGATCAGTAAATAAACTTCAGTAAATATTTAGTATTAAAAACTTTGATACCCTTGGAGAAATGAAGCCTTAAAATTTTTACTGCAATTTCACAAAATTGAAAATATTTCAAAAACGGTAAGGTTTAAGTATAATAAACCTTAATCAAATTTACCTTTATTTTAATCGTAGAAACTAAAAATGTAATAATATACAGGGCGTTCCATTTAAAAAAATACAACTTTGATATTTTTTACTTATTTGGGACACTCTGTGTCTTGTAAAATTATTTTTAAATTGTAGCTCTAATAGTCCTTCATCGAACCCAAAACTTACAATTTGTAAAAATCTCATCGTTTAGCTACAATACTCCGTGTCGTATGTGGTGAACAACCCTGTATAATCCCAAAAAAATTGTAAAATTTGACTAACGTATGTATTTTTTTTAATGCTGAACAACAATTTCGCACAGCGTTTATATGTTTTTAGATATATCGCATCACTATTCAAACCACGTATATGATGAAGATTATGCTTTTTCAGTTATAGAAATATGTAACAAAGATGTGAGTGACCACAACATTTATTCTGTATGCCATGTAAGTACATATATTTTGTTCTTTTAATACATTTTTATTATAATAGGAGCATTTATTGTTTGCACAGGAGCGCTTATTGTTTTTATTAGTTTTTTTTTCTGCCAATTCGTTCTTTAAATACCTGATTTTTTTTAAGAAATTTTGACAGTTTTTATCTAGTCACAGAGTTTGTATAACTAGTCAGAACTTTAAGCCACCCTGTATAATGACCACATGATTATTTTTATCAGCAGAGTTAACTCAGCATAAAGATACTTATAAAGAGTCATAGTTGTATTTTAATCTTAATCTTAATACACATTTTATTCTTGCAGTTATTATTATCTCGATCTGCACCTTATCCTATGATGAAAGGTGGTCTGCTTCATTCTCCTTCATCAACCTTAAACACCGAACATTTATTTAATTTTATCGATTTGTGTGTCTATTCTAAAGAGAAAATATCTCGGTTTACTTTAAGTGTAAATATAAAAGACGCTATAAGAACTTTATTGATTGATAGCGGTTTTAAATATGATGTATAGATACAGCGGTGGCCAAAAGTATCGAAACTTTTTACTTTTTAAAATATCACAGAAATTATTGCTATGCTTAAACTCTCAGGAATATAAATGAACAGCTTATCAGTAAATAAAAGTATTCCAAAAATTACACAGCGAAAAAAATCTGTTTAGCAGTTTTTGTAGGAGAACAATGGATTTCTTGTGGCCAAAAGTATGGAAACCATAAATAAATACATATATAAACATCATGCCCAAGTCTAAATATTTCTCTACGGATTTAAAAAATAAAATAGTTGAATTATACAAGAGCGGTTATAAACAAATTCAAATAAGTAAAAATTTAAACATTTTAAAAGGCACCGTTTCGAAAATAATTCGTAAATTTAATAAAACAGGGAACGTTTCGACAGCTTTTAAGTCAGGAAGACCAAGAAAGTTGTGCAACAGGACAATGAAAGTAATGAAGAGAATATCAATGGGAGATCCAAGAAAAACATCCACAGACATTTCTCGAGAAATGGGTGAAAGGGGAATATCGGTGTCTGCACCATTAATATCAAAGAAAAATAGGATGGCCCGCTTTAAATTTGCTCAAGATCATCTCACCTGGTCTTATCAGAAATGGAATACTGTACTGTTTAGCGACGAAAGCAAGTTTCAACTGTTTGGTAGTGACGAGAGACGTTATGTCCGAAGACCAAAAGGTACACGGTACAGCCATAATTACCAGATGCCCACAGTAAAACATGGGGGTGGGAGTATAATGGTATGGGGGTGTTTTTCTCGCTCAGGTGTTGTTCCTCTTGTTAAAATTGATGGAATAATGGACCGTTTTTTGTACAAAGACATATTGGAGAATAATATGCTGCCTCATGCTGATGAAGAAATGCCACTCAGATGGTTGTTCCAGCAAGACAATGATCCCAAGCACAAATCTCGGTTTGTTCAAAATTGGTTAAATGAACATAATGTTCCACTAATGGATTGGCCCTCACAGACTCCGGATCTTAACCCCATAGAAAATTTATGGGACCATTTAGATAGCAAAATTCGAAGCCATTCTATTTCAAATAAAAATGAATTATGAGAAGTGCTAAAAACTGAATGGGCGGCCACTTCCAGTAAAAATTGTACGAGATTGATCGATTCGATGCCACGAAGATGTAGAGAAGTAATTAATTCAAAGGGATATTCCACTAAATATTAGTAATTTTTATATTATCTTGAATTTTAATAAACATTCTTCTTAAGTTTCCATACTTTTGACCAAGAAAATATTCATAATTTTTTATATATTTTTTGATAGCTGTAATTTTTTATTTAAATGTATTAGGTTTTGTAGGAAATTATTTGTAGGTCACGATTATATAAGTCGTTTTATTTCATATTTTAATTTCTCAGCATAAATGACAAATTAAAAAAGTTTCCATACTTTTGGCCACCACTGTATATACTGCAGCTTATTCAGCACCAGCTTGTCAACTTCGCTTGTTTATGAATACCGGCATTTTTCGTACACATGCTAGTTTTCAGAGCAACGATAGTCACGATAGTTTTTATAAACGGAGCTGTAATGGAACTCCAACTTGTTACATAACATAAGATAAATGAATATCGTGGTAGGTATGCAGCGCTCCATACAAATGACCGTAGATGACAGGCTGGTTATTGATAGGCTGTGACTATACAATAA